AGCGTCAGTGTTCGGAGAATAGCACACAGAGTAAGCCAGAGCAGCTGACAAGGAACAGTTATATTTCCAGGCAATTGTTTGGAGTTGTCCCACTCGTTGTTCTGGCCGTTTAACCGTTGCACTGTGTAGTATTCAAGTTACATGACGGCGCCTGTAAATAACCGAGGCTGTCCGATAAACCAGGGGTTGGTATCATGAGCATCGACCCTGGCCGCTGAGGTGACATGCAAACAACCAGGTCACCGAACTTGGTCATCTGCCCACTCAGGTTAACTTTACGAAACGCACAGGTTGCTGGGAACCATTTCTAACCCGGAAATCCCACGGGTGTACTATCAAGGGGCAATATACACGTTGTGGACTTTGTATTTCTTCTGTAGACCCGTGAAGATTCGGGTTAGGATTGATCTTCAGTAACCCATGCTTGTCGTAAGAGGCGACTAACGGGACTGGCTGACTTGGTTGACACATGCCATCGTATCCCAATTGCGTAGATCGATGCTCATACTGTTGATCACTGGATTACCTGGTCCAGACGCGATTATTTACAGAGCGACGCCATATAGCTGGAGTATTGCTAAGTGCGGCGTAAAATTAAACTCACTCACTATTTCTTCTGTACGTTGACCGCATTATTCTCTCGATGTTTTAGCCTCACATAGGTAGAAATATGGAAAGAAATACAGACTGCGTAGCAACAAATTCTGGGGGAATCTAGATTAATTTTAGAAGCGCAAAGTTAGTTACCAAACTGACAACAGCGGAAGGCTGAAAAAGGATGTATTTTTCCGATTTACTTTCGGAATATTTAAGATATTTAATGTTACGGATTACTGAATAGAAATTGTAACCAGTTTTCATAACATCCCCGTCATAGTTTCTTTACTAAACCCTTGGCCTTGAACTTGGAAAGTCACTGACCTCTGGTACCAATTGCCACAAGCGACACCTCAGACCTCACATTATCCGAAACGTTCCTACGAAATTTCAACAGATTATTGGAAGCCATCTTAGCTCCCTGTGCCGATTTCTACTTACCATCTTAAAATGTGTTGCAAATATCAAGCCGATATGACAAACGTCACGACAGAGACCAAACGGTTTAAAAAAAAGTCGAATATGCGATTAATTGTTGAACATCTGAACAAAATCGTTTCCCAGTCCACATACGTTCTGTGATATACGAGGACATATCTAAATTAAAATTTTCAACATCGTTGCTTAAGTTTGGTTTATCCGATATATCATAATCGTTCAATGCATGTGTCTTCAGCCATCGATTTGTAGAGCAATGTATCAAATCCACGACAGACTCATTCATGTCAGATTCACAATGGCAGGTGGCGAGATGGAATCAGTGACCTTGACACCAGGGTCGAGAGGTCATCACAGCTTGCGGCAAGTAATGATCAATGGTGTCTTTGACAAAGATTGAGAGAGACGAGGAATTCGAGATGTTGCCTCACTCAAACATTTTAGGTTTCTCTGGATCGTGGTCATTATGGACCGTCTTTGTTTTTATCTTGTGAGCACTCGTGGGCGCAACGCTGATGACGTCAATGACGACCCCGTGACGTTTAGGATGACATTGACAGCTTCACTGACATATTTCTTAAGGGGGACCTATATTGATCGTAATTAGTTTCTCTCTGTGTGAACATTAAAGTAGATTCGATACGAGGACTTGTCAAAAGGTGGTTTTCGGCTGTCCATAGTTTTTCTCTCCTCAATATCTGCAAGCTGTCATTTCTTAAACTGTTTCTTCATTCGTTGACGCAGAGCCGGATGATTTAGCCCTTCGGCACATTTCAGCCAATCAGTAAGCTGAACTAGAACTAGGTCCAACGAATCTTGCAATTACATAAATGTTTTGTCAAAAATTAACGTTCTTAGCTGTTAAGAAACTAAGACTATGTGCGATTCCAGATTCGGGACTGAGTATGTCATACCTTTCTTCATACAGTTAATTACATAACGTGTCTACTAGTTCATTTGCGACAGTAGGACAGATGAAGAATGGATTGGCGACACATACCAATCTTGGCAAGACAAACCAGTGGTCGATATTATGAGCATGGTCAGTAGGACAGATGACTGACTGACTGACTGAGTTTTGGTTTTACGCCGCTTTCAGCAATATTCCTGCAACATCACGGCGGTAGGGCAGATGAAGAATGGATTGGCGACACATACCAATCTTGGCTAGACAAACCAGTGGTCGATATTATGAGCATGGTCCTACTCCCAGTTCCAATGGCACACAGACAAGTATGAAAATATCAGGCTAAATATCTGAAGTACGGGTTGGGCGAGGTGAAGAGATGAAATGGGGTTATAAACGTCACGTCTGAGAATATGGTTCACGTATATGGCAAGAGCGTTGCACGTATATCACCTACCCCATGCATCCTCCTTACCCACCGGGGGTGGTGTAGCCTGGTGATTAAAGCGTTCGCTCGTCACGCCGAAGGCCCGGGTTTGGTTACCAACATGGGTACCATGTGCGAACTCATTTCTGGTATTGCTAAAAGCGGCGTAAGACCAAACTCACTCACTCTTCCCTCTACTCACCCATCCCTCAATAATAATGCTTTATCCCCTAATAATACTGAGCTCCAGAAGTATCACCTTTTAACATATTAGTGTGGCGCGGTCTTGGGACACAAAACGGCACAAGATATTCATATCAAATCACGCAACTAAGTACGCAATGAAATATTCATTTGCATAGTTCATTAGTCGGGTTACACAGAAAACACGAAAGCTTCTTCAATACCAAACTCACGTACCTGACCCTGGAATACATACAACATATTCGATTCGGTTGACAAATCAATATAATCGAAGCTACGAATTTATTTTGTCAACTTAATTATGAACAAATTCATAAACACAGCGGGAGGCGAGATTATCGACGACACATGCGCTCCCTGCGACCGGAACATGACTCCGACTACCTGACCCGATTACCCAGCTGTTTGTCTGCATATAACGAACAACAGGTTTCGGCTCTTATCAGCAGGCGTGGATTTACCTGTGACGTCATACTGAACATCTGTTTGCGCAGCTGTTGAAAACTTTTCCCAATATAAAAGATCTAAAAAATTCAATACATATTTTACATGCATTGACATATTTTTTTCCGACCATTCAGCCTGCATCAGCATTTTGTTTTTCTAAACCACAAGAAGGCATGTATAATAAATGGTTATATAATTAAATATTGAAGGAGTGTATTTGTGAACAACATCCACCAGTAAACTGCTTATCCATATTGCACTGTTGTCTGAAGGCCAAAGCCTCCCTACTGCAGTACAGGTGGGATCCATATAGTGCTAATGTCTTAAGAAGTTAGTGTATAAGATATTCTAAACAATTCCAAAGCCTGTACAATTTAATAAAAGAGTAAATCTACATCCGAATTGTGGGGAGTATCACCTCATATGTTGATGATGATTTTAAGGGGGATGTCACCCATTTTCTCCAGGGTGGGGTGGTGGTGGTGTCAATTTTGTCACACGTACTTGGGGGTGGGTCAGCAATTTTGTACATGACATGCAAGGGGGTGTCACTTCCTTTGTACATAAATAATTTTAGGGGGCGTTATTAACATTGAACATGCTTCTCCATAAAAATTACCATAATCCCCCCCCCAGCTACAAATAAATGAATGGTCCCTTAGACCCAAACAAGACCTCAGTACGCCGCCAGATTTCTGAGTAATTTTGTATTCAAGTCAAGTCCCTATTGTCAGTACAATAGATCTACAGTCGTCAGTATTAACATCACGTCACAATCCTCCCTCCAAAATATGTCACTACCTGTGAGAGTGTTAGGTCATAGACTCTGGTAAACATTCACAAATAGACAGGTAACTGTGTCTGTTAGAGAAAAAGGGGGCACCTCTGTCTCATGTCCATGTTTGATTTGGTTCTAGTAATGAATACCATATGTGAAATTGAAACATTGTCTGTCTGTAATTGGGGAAATCATTAACATCTGAGATGGAGGAAACACACAGTTGGTTTTAAATGCCTCAAACCTGCAACCTGCAAATGTCCACAGCCTAGTCCCCATTTAAAACATTTTAAAGTACTTAACATCAGGAGCTTACCATGTGTCCTAGCCCCTGCATATCAAGCAGCAGAAAATGGCTGACTAAAACTTTCCATATATTTTCGATATACACATATATATTTCCAGATTTCAGGTATTCCAAACCAAACTGATGGCTGATGCAATTTGTTAGAGGTAACAGGTCAGCTCAGTGCCAATAGACAGCCCTGAGTAAAGCAGGTTTGAGACTTTTCACAAAAGGCTCTTGTGAAACAGGCATGTTCAGCACTGGTGCAGACAAACCTAGGAAACTGTTCTTGGCAACTTGGAATTGGAAACCAACATCAGACGTTTCTGGAATACCAAAGGGGCATAACTTTGTACAACAATTCACCATATCTCTGATGTTTGGGATTGTTTCTGAGAAGAGATCAATAAAATTGCTTCTCTTGAGACCATTTTGAAGTTTTCTAAACTGAAATGTATATAAATATGACACAAAGAAAAACAATATCAGTGGTTCAGAAGGAAAGAGTTTCAAAGTTCAGCATTTACAGATGGATGGATGGATGGAAGGGGGGGATGGAAGAATGGATGATGGATGGATGGGAGGGTGGGTGGATAAATGGATGATGGATGGATGGAAGACAAACAACATCTGATACTCATGCCTTGAGCTCGCATTGACAATCTCAAGGCTAAACTAGTAAGAAACACACAATATTCATTTGAACTCAAAACTTACAGAACTTTATTCTCTTAAACTAAAGATACTGTTTCAGTACAAAACATACAGATATTATTGTCAAAACTGAATGACGTCACATGTTGATTCAAAGCCCGATCGACCACATCCCACAAGAAAGCTGTAACTGAAACAGCGATACAGTGATGATGACGATGAGAATATGATCATGTTTGCACTACAATCTGGCATGATGTCTAGCCTATTTATAATTAAAGTCCAGTGACATACAAGGACTGTCCTCACAGTAAAACAAGTCAAACGTTATGCAGTTTATACATATGATACATTATATGACATGTTGAATAGCCACCCTTCTTTACAAGACCACTAATATAAGAAAAATAGCTGTAGATCAAAGTATTTATGCTGTTTCAAAAAATTCTACTTTTACATAAGTCAGGGAAGATTTGCTCTTGGCCTTGAACTGTAACTAGCACTACAACACAAAGTTACATGACTGTACTGTTCTGTTAGATCAAATCAGTGCTAGAATGTATACAGAATGATTGGTCAGCTGGATCCCCAATCAGAAGGTTTGACTCTTGGTCCTGGTCATGATTTTATAACACCCCATCAGGATCCTCATTGTCTTTACAACGGACCCTCAGATGTCCTATTCACAGTATCTTTCACAAATGTCCATTATTAAATATGATATTTTGGGATAATTCATCAGTAGAAGTCCTCTTCATCCTCCTCCTTCTTTCCTCCCTTCTGCTGGTTCTGTATCTGATGCTGGTTGTTGTACATCTCGGCCACCTACACAAACAAACAAACAAACAAACAATGGTTTTACAGGTTCATATCATAAATATATTTCGAGCCTTCACTTCCTGAACATCAGTGAGTGAGTGAACGTATAAGTACGGTTAGACACCACTTTTAGCAATATTCCAGCAAAATCACAGGGGACACCAGAAATGGGCTTCACTCATTGTACCCATGTGGGGAATCGAACCCGGGTCTTCAGCGTGACTAGCAATACTTTAACCACTAGGCTACCCCACCGCCCCTCCTGAACATGACATAGTCTCCAACCCAACACACATGCAACTAACAGCTAAACATTGACTTATACATCATTCAACATATAGCATTATTAGGGAATCGAACCGGGTCTTCAGGAATGACGGGTCTTCAGCGTGACGAGTGATACTTTAACCACTAGGCTACCCCACCGCCCCTCCTGAACATGACATAGTCTCCAACCCAACACACATGCAACTAACAGCTAAACATTGACTTATACATCATTCAACATATAGCATTATTAGGGAATCGAACCCGGGTCTTCAGCGTGACGAGCGATACTTTAACCACTAGGCTACCCCACCGCCCCTCCTGAACATGACATAGTCTCCAACCCAACACACATGCAACTAACAGCTAAACATTGACTTATACATCATTCAACATATAGCATTATTAGGGAATCGAACCCGGGTCTTCAGCGTGACAACTGGGAATACTTTAACCACTAGGCTACCCCACCGCCCCTCCTGAACATGACATAGTCTCCAACCCAACACACATGCAACTAACAGCTAAACATTGACTTATACATCATTCAACATATAGCATTATTAGGGAATCGAACCCGGGTCTTCAGCGTGACGAGCGATACTTTAACCACTAGGCTACCCCACCGCCCCTCCTGAACATGACATAGTCTCCAACCCAACACACATGCAACTAACAGCTAAACATTGACTTATACATCATTCAACATATAGCATTATTAGGGAATCGAACCCGGGTCTTCAGCGTGACGAGCGATACTTTAACCACTAGGCTACCCCACCGCCCCTCCTGAACATGACATAGTCTCCAACCCAACACACATGCAACTAACAGCTAAACATTGAACTTATAGCATCATTCACCCGGTCTTCATATAGCATAACCACTATTACCCTCCTGGGGAATCGAACACCGGGTCTTCAGCTAAACATTGACTTATACATCATTCAACATATAGCATTATTTTAACCCACTAGGCTACTTTAACCCTAGGCTACCGCCCTCCTGAACATGACATAGTCTCCAACCCAACACACATGCAACTAACAGCTAAACATTGACTTATACATCATTCAACATATAGCATTATTAGGGAATCGAACCCGGGTCTTCAGCGTGACGAGCGATACTTTAACCACTAGGCTACCCCACCGCCCCTCCTGAACATGACATAGTCTCCAACCCAACACACATGCAACTAACAGCTAAATACTGACTTATACATCATTCAACATATAGCACTATTAGATATAAACACCTATTGCATCCTACGGGGTACTAAATTCTCAACAAGAAATAGAAATGTCTTTCAGTGGCATTTAGAAGTTGTACATTGATGTCCAGGATATTTTTATGGATTAAACTTCTTTTTTAATTTCTCTCACGACGTTTCAAGACCATTCCAGGTCCCTTCATCAGGTGAACTGGCAGTAATAGAAAGTTCCTCATAAATGTCATTATAACATCATACAGTCAGATTTCATGACTTTACAGGACTCTGAAAATTTCCTCTGTACCTCTAGTTAAGTAGTGGAACTTCACCAACTATAATCATTCAATCTATCAACCGTAAAGGCTGAAAAATCCTTAAAGTGATTACTCGGCACAAACTGCTGCCTTATTGATTGGAGGTGAGCCAGGTGTTGGTTTCACCTAACGCTCCCATCGATATATACATTCAGGTCACCCTAAATCAATCCATGTACATTACCCAATTACCTGGTGCAGTTAACAAAATAGTTTGTCTCCTTCCAACATGGGAACATTCACAGCCAGCCTTACAAATCTAAAATAAATGTTGGTGTTTGGCACTTAATCGAGGGGGGAACAATTGCTACATCCCATATTGTGTGCTATAAATGTTGGTGTTTTTAATCGGGAAGATGTGATGTTGGGCTTGGCACTTGTCGAGGGGACAATTGCTACATCCCATACTATAAAGAGGAGAACATCCCATATTGCTGCATAAATGTTGGTGTTTGGCACTTATCGAGGGGAACAATTGCTACATCCCATATTGTGTGTATAAATGTTGGTGTTTGGCATATCGAGGGGAACAATTGTGTGCTATAAATGTTGGTGTTTGGCACTTATTCGAGGGGAACAATTGCTACATCCATATTGTGTGCTATAAATGTTGGTGTTTGGTAATCGAGGGGGAACAATTGCTACATGTATTGTGTGCTATAAAATTGCTACATGTGCTATAAATGTTGAAATGTATTTTGCTATAAACTTATTCACTTATTCGAGGGGGGAACAATTGCTACATCCAATATTGTGTGCTATAAATGTTGGTGTTTGGCACTTAATCGAGGGGGGAACAATTGCTACATCCAATATTGTGTGCTATAAATGTTGGTGTTTGGCACTTATTCGAGGGGGGAACAATTGCTACATCCAATATTGTGTGCTATAAATGTTGTATTGTGGGATACATGTTGGTAGTTTGTGTGTGCTATAAATGTGTGTGTGAGGGGGAACAATTGCTACATCCAATATTGTGTGCTATAAATGTTGGTGTTTGGCACTTATTCAGGGGGGAACAATTGTGTGTGCTATAAATGTTGGTGTTTGTACCTTAATCTGTGTGACAATTGCTACATGTGCTATAAATGTGTGCTAAATGTTGGTTTTGGCACTTATTCGAGGGGGACAATTGCTACATCCAATATTGTGTGCTATAAATGTTGGTGTTTGGCACTTATAAATGGGAGTTTGGTAATTGAGAGAGGAGGGGGAACAATTGCTACATCCAATATTGTGTGCTATAAATGTTGGTGTTTGGCACTTATTCGTGTGTGGTGGTGACAATTGCATGTGCTATACATGAAACACAATGCTATAAATGTTGCTATAAATGTTTGGCACTTATTCGAGGGGGAGACATTGCTACATCCAATATTGTGTGCTATAAATGTTGGTGTTTGGCACTTATTAGGGGTGTGTGTGTGTGGGGTGACAATTGCTACATCAATATTGTGTGCTATAAATGTTGAAATGTGGGGCACTTATTCGAGGGGGACAATTGCTACATCCAATATGTGTGTGCTATAAATGTTGGTGTTTGGCACTTATTCGAGGGGGGAACAATTGCTACATCCAATATTGTGTGCTATAAATGTTGGTGTTTGGCACTTATTCGAGGGGGGAACAATTGCTACATCCAATATTGTGTGCTATAAATGTTGGTGTTTGGCACTTATTCGAGGGGGGAACAATTGCTACATCCAATATTGTGTGCTATAAATGTTGGTGTTTGGCACCTTATTGGCACTGTATTAAATGTTGAAATGTGTGGGGAACCGAGGGGTACATTCACATATTGTGTGCTATAAATGTTGGTGTTTGGCACTTATTCGGAGGGTGAGGGAGGAGGTGTGACAATTGTGTGTGCTATAAATGTTGGGGTTTGTGCATATATTGTGTTATAAATGTTGGTGTTTGGCACTTATTCGAGAGAGGGGGACAATTGCTACATCAATATTGTGTGTGTTGGAGGGGGACAATTGCTACATCAATATTGTGTGCTATAAATGTTGGTGTTTTGACAATTGCTACATGCTATAAAATGTGTGCTAAATGTTGGGGTTTGGCACTTATTCGAGGGGAGACAATTGCTACATCCAATATTGTGTGCTATAAATGTTGGTGTTTGGCACTCAGGAGAATTATTCAATATTGTGTGTTATAAATGTTGGTGGGGGGACAATTGCTACATCCAATATTGTGTGCTATAAATGAGTTCATCAGATCTCATGACATATTTTTGTCCACGACAACTATGCATTAATGTTGTTATTGGAGACTTCCATATTTTTATCTATAGTTTTCTGTCACAGGAAAAAAATACTAAGGTACATTAATGTATTGATGCTCTTTTGACCAGAATGAAAAATTAAAATGTTCAACACAAACAATATGCTGGGGTGGAAATAGTGCTTAAATTGGATGCCATAAATATCAAAATGGCATGAACACAGTGCACAGGGCCAGCGACTAAAATCATAAAATTAATACACACCATGATTCATTTAATGGAAAATGCCATACATTTGAGCAACTGAAATGATTAAAAACCTATATTTCAGCCCATTAAACTGTTTATCTGTGGTACTCTCAATCTCACAGCTCAACATGGGCGTGGCTGTTTTTAATGCTGGTGCGTATAACAGGAATTGCTGTTTTGGAAGATAACATAGCTTGTGGGTTATTTTATAGGTCCAGTAAAATTTAGCTGAACTATTCTTGCAGTTTTGATATTGTTTAGGAAATGCAGCTCTCAAGTTTACAGGTTTACTGATTTATCAACCAATAAATTGAAATGACTTGAAGTGATGTTTTAAGTTTAACTCGATCATCAAAAGGTCTAGTCTGGGCATGCTCATATTCACATATAAAAAAATGCTAAAAAGCATGGGTTACTGAAGATCACTTCTAACCCGCATCTTCACGGGTTCAGTGGTTTAGAAGGTGATCTGGACTAACAAGACCTCACTAAGTCTACTTCAGGGATTTCCACCAGAGACTCAGCGAGAGGTTTCCTGTTTGATTCCAAGAAAGGGAGAGCTCCATTCAACTAGTGGGAGAGTGTAGTTAACCGATTTTCTGCTCGACTAGTGATAACACCAGTCACATCAATATCATTATCTTGAATAGTTAGTTCCCTGTAGCATAATACTTCTTCCTAAATAATCAGCTGTTTTCCATTCCGAAAGCATTTTGATGGATGACAGTCTACTGCATTTTCCTCTTGACAAGACAGCAAGCTATAAGAGCACCACATGAGCCGATGTTACAAATCTAAAGTAAAAATAATATAGGTTTGAGTAGAATAAGCTCACAGGTCTTTACTGCTGACAAATAGCTGTGCACTTTGAAATATGTGTTAAATTATATTCCTGTTCATTTGTTAATGTGCAACTTGTCTCTGAATGCATTAGTGTGAATCTTAGAAAGCTTGTCTGTGAAAAATCTCTTTAAACGTCATTGGTCATAGAAAAGCCCAAATTTACAAAACCCCAGGTCACACCCATAGCACACACTCAGTGCATATCAAAGTTTACTGACATGTTGTAGTGAATGAGTTTAGTTTTACACAGCACTCAGCAATATTCCAGCTATATGGCCGCGGTCTGTAAATAATCGAGTCTGAAACAGACAATCCAGTGATCAACATCATGAGCATCTATCTACACCATTGGGATACGATGACATGTGTCAACCCAGTCAGCGAGCCTGACCACCCGTTCCCGTTAGTCACCTCTTACGACAAGCATGGGTTATTGAAGCCCAATTCTAACCCGGGTCCTGACACGTTGTATCATACACAAGAAGCACAATATGTTACATTGTAGGGGTGACTATTGAGGGGAAAACAACTACTGCGATAGCGATAGTCTATTGCAACATACTATTGCGATAGCGATAGTCTATTGCGACTAACTATTGCCATACTATTGCAATAGTTTTCTCTCTCCTTGAATTGTCTCATTTGAAGTCATTTCCCAAATGAATGTATTGTTTATATGAAATAATAAAAACATGAAGTAGTTTCAGTCTCTTTTAATAACTCATAAGAAACTTGAAACCCAGATCCATTGCTGTTATTCACAATTTCAGACTCTGAGTCGCATGCCGTGTTTTCCGCCATGTTTGTTTAAGAGGTAACAGGGGCGGATAACTTTAAATCAATGTGAATGAATCTGGTACTTCCTGTATTTTGCGCTGCGCCATTTATCAACAGAAGTCAATTACTAAACAATCGATAGTCACACATACTATCGATGCAGCAATAGTTTTTCGTTTCTACCATTGATTAATTGCTATCGGAGACTTAACAATTGCAATCCATCGATAGTTCGATGCATCGTTACAGCCTTATTACATTGGGTGTTTCATTTTCTCAGTCAAATATAACATATGTGGCATTTGACCACTTTCCAAAAGGCACTGTTTATTCACATACACAAGAAGATGAGTTTCAAAATGACATCAATGTTTAGATACGTCACTGCTGGAGTCACATACAATAAACACATTTTCAGTTGAGCTAAGCTATAGAAGTTTGCACCTTTCACTCAATTAAATCAAGTTTCATTAACCTGACGAGATAAAAGTGTCAGATGGGTTTGATAGATGTCGACATGATAACAGGTTAATTTATCGCTGTTCTAGTAGAACCATGGGGTCCGTTGTATTCCAACAATGTAAAAGGTAAAAAGTCAGAGGCAGGTCGAAATATTAAATCTAAATACATATATTAGTCAATAAGGAAGATATGAAGGGAACAAAGGAAGCATGGAGGGGAACAAAAGACAATATTAAGGCAGGAGTAACGGAGAATATGGTAGAAGTTGTGTCAGGTCTGCACATTCAACAACTCCGGCATCAGTTGTTGATCATGCTTCTGGTAACTCTGGGACAAAGAAATCTATATGGACGTGATCAACACCTACATGTACACACTGTATGTTTGGCTTACTGCCAAGGTGTACAACATCTGCCTGCATTACGTGGGAAACATCGGTCTCCATGGCTGACTGACACCAGGTCACCATGGTTTAACTTGAGCTTGTTGTTCACACCTGCCTGCCTGCTATTGATTCTGGTCAACATTTATCAACATAGCTGGAATACTGCTGTGGCAGAAAACATCTACCATTCACTCATGCTATGCAAAACATGACGTATATATTTGTGAAGTAGATGTGTAGATGAAGTACTGGTGTGTTGAGTAAGGTAGATGATAGAGAGTAAGGTAGATGGTAGAGTGTAAGGTAGACGATTGAGTGTAAGGTAGATGATTGAGTGCAAGGTAAATGGTAGATGGTAGAGTGTAAGGTAGATGGTAGAGCGCAAGGTAGATGTTCGAGTGCAAAATAGATGGTAGAGAGTAAGGTAGATGGTAGAGCGTAAGGTAGACAGTAGACTAATGTAGATGGTAGTTTAAGGTAGATGGTAGAGTAAGGTAGATGGTAGAGTGAATGGTAGACGGTAGAGTGCAAGGTAGACAGTAGAGCGTAAAGTAGACGGTACAGTGCAAGGTAGACGATTGAGTGCAAGGTAGACGGTAGAGTGTAAGGTAGACGAGTGAGTGTAAGGTAGATGATTGAGTGCAAGGTAAATGGTAGATGGTAGAGTGTAAGGTAGATGGTAGAGCGCAAGGTAGATGTTCGAGTGCAAAATAGATGGTAGAGAGTAAGGTAGATGGTAGAGCGTAAGGTAGACAGTAGACTGTAATGTAGATGGTAGTTTAAGGTAGATGGTAGAGAGTAAGGTAGATGGTAGAGTGAATGGTAGACGGTAGAGTGCAAGGTAGACAGTAGAGCGTAAAGTAGACGGTACAGTGCAAGGTAGACGATTGAGTGCAAGGTAGACGGTAGAGTGTAAGGTAGACGAGTGAGTGTAAGGTAGATGGTAGAGTGCAAGGTAGACGGTAGAGTGTAAGGTAGACGGTAGAGCATAAGGTAGACGGTAGAGTGTAAGGTAGACGGTAGTCAGTAGAGCGTAAGGTAGACGGTAGAGGTAGAGTGTAAGATCAACAGCAGTGTGTGAAGTAGACGATGGTGTGTGAAGTAGACGATGGTGTGTGAAGTAGACGGTGGTATGTGAAGTAGGTGGTGTGTGTGAAGTAGGTGGTGTTGTGTGAAGTTGAAGGTGGTGTGTGAAGTAGACGATGGTGTGTGAAGTAGACGATGGTGTGTGAAGTAGACGATGGTGTGTGAAGTAGGTGGTAGTGTGTGAAGTAGATGGTGGTGTGTGAAGTAGATGGTGTTGTGTGAAGTTGAAGGTGGTTTGTGAAGTAGATGGTGTGTGAAGTAGGTGTTGTGTGAAGTAGGTGGTGTGCGAATTAGAAGGTGTTGTGTGAAGTAGAGTGGCGTGTGAAGTAGAAGGTGATGTGTGAAATAGATGGTAGTGTGTGGAGTAGAAGGTGGTGTGTGAAGTAAAAGGTGCTGTGTGAAGTAGATGGTAGTTTGTGAAGTAGAAGGTGGTGCGTGAAGTAGATGGTGGTGTGTGAAGTAGATGGTAGTTTGTGAAGTAGAAAGTGGTGTGTGAAGTAGATGGTGGTGTTTGAAGTAGATGGTGGTGTGTGGGCATACCTGAGAGTGCAAGGTAGACGGTAGAGTGTAAGGTAGACGATTGAGTGTAAGGTAGATGGTAGAGTGCAAGGTAGATGGCAGAGTGTAAGGTAGATGGCAGTGTGTAAGGTACACGGTAGTCAGTAGAGCGTAAGGTAGACGGTAGAGGTAGAGCGTAAGATCGACAGCAGTGTGTGAAGTAGACGATGGTGTGTGAAGTATACGATGGTGTGTGAAGTAGGAGGTGTGTGAAGTAGACGATGGTGTGTGAAGTAGACGATGGTGTGAGAAGTAGAAGGAGGTGTGTGAAGTAGATGGTGTTGTGTGAAGTAGGTGGTGTGTGAAGTAGATGGTGTTGTGTGAAGTAGAAGGTGGTGTGTGAAGTAGATGGTGTTGTGTGAAGTTGAAGGTGGTGTGTGAAGTAGATGGTGGTGTGTGAAGTAGATGGTGGTGTGTGAAGTAGATGGTGGTGTGAAGTAGATGGTGGTGTGTGAATTAGATGGTGGTGTGTGAAGTAGAAGGTGGTGTGTGAAGTAGAAGGTGGTTTGTGAAATAGATGGTGAAGTAGAAGGTGGTGTGTGAAGTAGAAGGTGGTTTGTGAAGTAGAAGGTGGTTTGTGAAGTAGATGGTGGTGTGTGAAGTAGAAGGTGGTGTGTGAAGTAGAAGGTGGTTTGTGAAGTAGATGGTGGTGTGTGAAGTAGAAGGTGGTGTGTGAAGTAGAAGGTGGTTTGTGAAGTTGAAGGTGGTTTGTGAAGTAGATGGTGGTGTGTGAAGTAGAAGGTGGTGTGTGAAGTAGATGGTGGTGTGTGAAGTTGATGGTAGTGTGTGAAGTAGATGGTGGTGTGTGAAGTAGAAGGTGGTGTGTGAAGTAGAAGGTGGTGTGTGAAGTAGATGGTGGTTTGTGAAGTAGATGGTGTTGTGTTAAGTTGAAGGTGGTGTGTGAAGTAGATGGTGGTGTGTGAAGTAGATGGTGGAGTGTGAAGTTGAAGGTGTTATGTGAAATAGAAGGTGGTGTGTGAAGTAGAAGGTGGTGTGTGAAGTAGATGGTGGTGTGTGAAGTTGATGGTGGTGTGTGGGCATACCTGAGAGGCGGATGTTGCTTGTTCCGGCTTCTTGTCTTCACGGATACGAAAAAAGCGTGGAAATCTCAGTGATATACCTTTTTCTGGATCAACCTAAAATTGCAACATGAAGTCGATTACACACACATCGTACTGGCACAGTTTTATCTACATAGAGGTAATAATTAAGAGTCTCATTTGTACAGTGTTGTTAAAGTGAACCAGCATCAACTTCTTATATTCATTGTGACATCTCAAATCACGTCACACTTTGGCTTACACTCTGAGGACAGGGTTCCTGTCCTGTTTAACAGAGTTTCTTAGGTTTCAATATGTCAACAAAACATGATGTCACTTGGAGAGCATTTACAAAACCTCAATCTTGTTTTGCATTTGAACTTCAAATGCAAAGATTGAAAAAACTAAAGAAACTCACCAGTCCTGCTGCGGCCTTGTGGGTAGGGGATATTGAGAGGTCAGCAACCTTGATCTCCCACACCTGGACCGGATCAAACCAATGGTCAGGTTCGTGACCGGAGTCGTACTGGTAGTAGGGCTTGGGTTTATCAATGAGATGTTCCTTCAGGAAAGTAGTGTGTTTCTCAAGGTACTCGTCCGTGAAACCAGTGCCAATCTGGTTGGATGAAAATAACACCATTATATCATAGACTGCCAGTTGGACAGGATTGACAGTGAGCAAGTGAGAAGGCTAAGGTTCACACAGTTTCAGCGCCGTAACACTTTGTCAGCTCCATCCTCACTCAAACTCATTTGGGTATTTTGCCATTTTTCATTAATTGTAAAAACATAAAGTTTAAATGTTGGTTTACGTGTTTGTTATTTATATTTGATCTAAAATATGAGAAAAAGTAAGAAAGACTGCAAGTTGCCAGTAACTTGCCACGTTCATGTGCTGAAATAGAACGTCACAATATACCTCAGTTATTTTATCTATCCTCAGTAACACCCAAGCTAAGATTTGACAGTTTTGTGTGTACCCAAGTAAGATCAAATTTATTGAGCATTTACAAAAATTTAAGCATACTTGCACGCAACAAACACAATAGGAATTGAGTTTTTGCATAAATATTTGCATAATTTACGCAGCTTATCTGTACCTCTGTTGATGCTCAGGCTGTTGATCACTGGATTGTATGGTCCAGACTTGATTATTTACAGACTGACACCATATCATTGGAATATTTGCCAAGTGCAGCATTAAACAACAAACAACAAACCAAGTACTGCTGGTTGTTGGTGAACAACACTTTGGCGAAAGTCTCAGACACTGGCATGACACAGAGACACCACTGACAATAATTTGGGTGAATGAAGCTGAAGAGTGGTGGCGTGTGGTCCTGTGCACAGAGCTTGGGTCACGAATCAGTTGAAGTTAAGCAACGTCGAGCTCGGACAGTCCTTGGATGGGTGACCGTGTTTGACAGCTTGACTCTGAGAGTTTCTAAGACTTCCATCCTGCCCCACAACGAAGCACATGTAATACATGTGGACTCAACTTAGGCAAGTGGGTTTGTTCAAAATTGCCTCTGTTCACCCAGCAGAAACAGGGTACCCGGTTGGATAAAGTCCTGTGACTATAACCTTCTAGCGCCAAACAGGCAGCTTGGGTTTTCCAGGGTAATAATAATCAGATTCTGATTAAGCGTCGCGAGCAATCACTTGGTGTTTGGAGACTGTGCGCTATAGAAGATGACTTGTTATTATTATTATTAAGAGTACATTCAGCACCTAAGGTATATAACTCTACCCAGAGTGTTGTTTCATCCTCTGCATCAGAATGGGGATGAAGAACAGCTGGAAACAATGACAGCATGAACATCCGGACATGTTGGTTATTTCACCTAACAGTCCTAGCTGGCTAAACCAAAAACCTTTCAATTATCAAATCACTCAAAAGCTGATCAAAGACTGTAGTGTGAATACACTAGCCCTTAAAATAAAACCAGACCAGTAGAAACCGTCAACTACTACAAATGGTTGTTGCCAAAGTTTACATCCCAGATTCGGGAGGAGTACCTTGCAGATGGACTGGAAGTCCTCGTTCTCCTCGTCATAGCAGGCAAGCAGGAAGCCCCCGTACCAGCCTGTCCTCTTGCCGGAGCCCAGGTAGCCCCCGATGGGCACCACATCCAGGGTGTCCCCTACACCGTCCAGGTAGTCCTTCTTTACCTGCAACACACATACACGACTGCATCTTTGGCTGCAGATACATCTACCTTCATATTCACAGTAAAAATATCTACCAAAATCCCATTAAGTGGGCATGACAGCTGAAAGATGGTGTGTTCTGTATAGTATGCCACATATGAGGAGGTGAGATGGGTTGAACTCTATCCATGGGTTGAACTGCCAGCCATTCCCAGGAAGGAACAAACAAAGATGTTTCAATGGAGAAAGGTCGTACCTTGAGCCAGTTGTGTGACCTCTTGGCTATCTCATACGTGGCATCCACGTCCAGAGTCTTCACCATGAGCCCCTCACAGTTACCTGGATAAACAGGGGGAAAGAAGGGGTGGCATGAGTAGACATCATGTGAGTAGGGACTCAAGACCTGCACTGTCCCAGAAAAAACATACTCTATTTCAAAATCCCACTCGGATGAGGGGTAGCCTAGTGGTTAAAGCATTTGCTCGTCACACTGAAGACCTGGGTTAGATTCCCCAAATGGGTACAATGTATGAAGCCTATTTTTGGTGTCCCCTGCCATGATACTGCTAACAGCGGCATAAAACCATACTCACTTGGAATCCTGCAGAGAGACAAGTATGGTGTACTGACAACCTACTCTTCGTCAAAATCCATCAAAGACAGGCAATGCATACTAAGGATTTGCACTGCCATAAAGATCCCCCTGTAGCCCCATCAGAGAGACAAACAAGGTGTACTTAGGACCTCCACTATGTGGAACCCCACTGTGTGAGTGAGTCTAGTTTTATTCCGCTTTTAGCAATATTCCAGCAATATCACGGCAATGGACACCAGAAATGGGCTTCACACATTGTACCCATGTGGAGAATAGAACCTTGATCTTCGGCAGGACGAGCGAACGCCTTAACCACTAGGCTACCCCACCACTCTGGAATCACACTGAGAGTCAAGTATGGAGTACTAAGGACCTACTCTATATCGTCACTTCTACAATATCAGAATGATTAATAAGGCTTCAAACTTCACGACTAAATATACATGTGTTGCAACAAAGGTCAAATATACTTGCTAGTGAGACTTGCAGAGTTTAGAATTACGAAACATTTGTTCAATGCCACACTCTGCAATATTCAAGCTGTATGATGGCGGCCTGTAAATAATCAAGTCAGGGGTGGAAATAACTTTAGAATTGCTAGTGTAATCCGGTACAGTGGCACATGTAAAATCACTTGCCCTGGTAATTTTTCCGCTATACAGGCCAATTTTCTTGGTGATATTTTAAACAAACATTGGAATGTCAACTGGACACCGGTACAGCGTGATATACAAATGTGCTTGCCCGACAGAAAAAAACACTGGACTCGGACGTCAGGCAATGGGTTATTTCCTCCCCTGCAAGTGTGAACCAGGTAATCCAGTGATTGATATAAAGAGCAACAATCAATGCTGTTGGGATAGAATGAAACATTATAACCACTGCCAGACCACCCATCCCTAAGTTGCCTTTTACAACCATCATGAACTGCTGAGGGCCAATTCTAACCCCAAATCCCCACCTCAGTCACCTGCCAACCATTACCTTTTATAGACTCATCCAAGAATTCCTCTATCTGTTCTGTATTGGGATGCAATCATAGATTTGGCAAATACAAACTCCCCTTCAACCTCAGTGAACTTGGTTCGCAAGAGTTCTCTCCTCTTCCTGAAAGGTTGTTGGACAAGAGACTCGCCATTGAAGTACAGAAGGTCAAAGGCATACACACACACTTGGACTTTAATCTGAGCCACGTCCGCATCCTGGAAACAGATCAACACATATTCACACTGCTACACTACGTGTTCATGTGTCATAGATACAGATTCACCGTAGCACCGTAACAAAAACCATTATCAATGCAAACGAGAGAAATTTTCTACAACCCGAATCAGGCACTATTAGAATGTTTCAAGTTTGGTTGCATCATCAGGTTGTCTACACACACACACCTTTTCCTCTGGGTCCCCTCTGAGGTTCTTACGTGAGACAAAGTGAGCTTCATCATTCATGGAGGCTTCAGAGCAATGTCGCAAAACTGTATCAATAGGTTTACAGAGTATGCAAAAGTCAAAGGTTTCTAAACCTACTAAAGGAAATCTATGCCCCAAAATGCTATCCCAAATCTTGATACCAACATACTGATATTTGATGCAATCTCAGCCAATAACACAAGAAGGATTTATTAGCGTCCCTACCTTTCTCTTCCTGGTACTAAGGACCTGGAAGGGTAGGATCTGCTTCTTCTCAGGGTCCCAGGCTACAGCCTCCGTGTCGATGACACATGACTTGACCTCCTCTGTAATGGCATTCGGCATCCGCTTGATGATGTCAGGGTATTTGGACGTATTGTCCTCGGAGTTCCGGCTGTAGATGTGGATCTTGCCATTATCCAGGAGATGGATCTGGGTAGAGACAATACATGTGTACTGAATACTCCTGTGCAATAAAATGTGCATTGCTATGCGAGTCTTGCAAAGATATATTTTACTTTTGTGTGAATTATTCTCTGCAATGCCCCTGATAGCAATGTTCGTTGGGCCAACATTGGCCAACGTAGGCCCAATGATGGCCAATGTTGGTCCAACATTGGCCCAACGGACATTGCTATCTGGGGCATTACTGATGAGATGGATTGGAGTGAGTGAGTTTGGCTTTACGCTGCTTTTAGCAATATTCCAGCAATATCACAGCTGGGCACACTGGAAATGGGCTTCAGACATTGTACCCATGTGGGGAATCGAACCAGGGTCTTCGGTGTGACGAGCGAACGCTTTAACCACTGGGCTACCCCACCGCCCTGACATGGATTGGAAACCTTCTGGGGACCTCTGCTCAGTGGAGAGTGTGAATTTGGTCTTACACCATTTTTAACAATGTCCCAATATCACCTCAGGAACACCGGAAATGGACACATTGTACCTATGTGGGGAATCAAACCCAGGTCTGCAGCATGGCGGTAAAGGCATCAAAACTAGGCTGCCCAACCAAACCCTCAGTGGAAGGCAGATGCTCATGGTAATGTCATCATGCACCCACATGCATCAGTATCTCCTGCCATTTGTCAAGCTGACAGTTGATATCAAGTTTTAAGTAAATTGATGTAATATTTGATAATAGATGAATAATCTGTTTATGATCTTAAGATTACTGACTGAACTTGAATACAACATCTACTGTAACTGTCTCACCTGTGCCCTTTCCCCATCATATTTGTATTCACAGGTAAATTCCATGTTTTCAAACCTCCGTAGCACCTCGCTCACACCCTTTGTTGGGTGGGCCAACATTGGTTTCAAGGGAATACCTGTAAAGTACAAAATCACATTGGCAGAATTCGAACAATTTGAGAAGAAAGCATCAGTTTCAAGAATCCAGCCATGTACCTGTCACAAAGACAATAAAATCACAGGAAGGTTTGTGTAGGACGGTGCTGCAGTCTTTCCCCACTTAGTATTTCAGCAACATACACCAACAAATGGTATATCAGCAACATACACCAACAAATGGTTACATCAGTATAAAGTTATATCGACAGTATATCAGCAACATACACCAACAAATGGTTACATCAGTATAAAGTTATATCGACAGTATATCAGCAACATACACCAACAAATGGTTACATCAGTATAAAGTTACATCGACAGTATATCAGCAACATACACCAACAAATGGTTACATCAGTATAAAGTTATATCGACAGTTACATCAGTATATCAGCAACATACACCAACAAATGGTTACATCGACAGTATATCAGCAACATACACCAACAAATGGTTACATCAGTATAAAGTTACATCGACAGTATATCAGCAACATACACCAACAAATGGTTACATTAATATGAAGGTACATCAGCAGTAGTTCAGCAATGTCAAGACTACCAAGACTAACAGTCACTTGAATGAAAGAGTTAAAATTTAAAGTTACTACATCAACAGTATTTCAGCAATGTCACTATAAGGAAGTAGACTTGGCATACACAAGTAGTGAATGAGTGAGTGACTTGTGTTTAATGCTACTTTGAGAGAGAGCTGATGATATCGTACCTGGGGTCAGCTTGCAGTGTTTGGGCAGCTCCTCCAGACCCTCCTTCAACAGCACTGGGATGATAGCATCATAGTTCGGCAACTCACTAAACAGTCAATGAGTGAGCGAATACACGGGTTAACTCCCACTTAAAGAGTTTTAGTAACTTGGGAGATACAGAGAATAGGTCGTTACTACTCATACACAACAAGAATTAAAAGAAATAAGAATTCAAACCAAAAAATGAAAGACTTTTTTTTGGAAAGCAGAATAGGGCAGCTTCTATCAATGGTCCACACATGACCTCTCCAACAAATGGCCCATTCAAAGTACCCACAATCGAATACAACTGTTTTAATCTTCTTCAGGGGCACAATTTTTTATGAGCCCTGCTTTTAATGTTCAGAAGACAATTTACATTAATTTAGAAATGATCAACTCATTGCCCAGATTAGGTTTAAATTTTGCTTGTATTGATCAATGCTCTTCTGAAAATGGTCAAAGGGAGGTAACACAGCAAACATGTTTCACCAAATATAGGTGAAATATAAATCTTCTATTCCAAAAGAATAGCCTCTTCTCTTGATGAGCAAAACAGAGACATAAAAAAGAATGAACTTGTAAGAGAATATTACCTTACATATGAGTAAACATCAGAAATTTATATCTCACACCGGAGACAAGAGGTGCCAGTGTAGAGTTACTCCCCTTTGAACAGTGTGCATTTAGCTATATGCATATCTGGACATTTTCCACTTTCTCTTGCATAGTAGCTTCATACCATGAATGTGGACAGGTGGCATATCAGATGCTGTCACATATTTCTAATAAAACGGACGTGGACTGATTTTTGTTGGATCATGTATGTGCTTTGCTTATTATTTCATTGTTGGAAATCGAACCCACTCAAGTGAGTGTTGTTTCATACTGCTGTTAGAAATACTCCAGCTATATTACTGTTGTGAACAAACAAGATAATCATCAAGGTCACTCTATCTAACCACCCAATCCTCTTTGTTCCTCACCAGCATACACAGCTATTCATCCCTAGATTCACTGTGGGCAGTACTCATACCCCCCACACAGGTGTCCTGACAAGCCATACCCAACTACAGGTGTCCTGACAAGCCATACCCAACCACAGGTGTCCTGGCAAGCCATACCCAACCACAGGTGTCCTGACAAGCCATACCCAACCACAGGTGTCCTGACAAAGCCATACCCAACCACAGGTGTCCTGACAAGCCACACACAACCGCAGGTGTCCTGACAAGGCTTTCCCAACCACAGGTGCCCTGACAAGCCATACACATCCACAAGTGTCATGACAAGCCATACACAACTAACAGGTGTCCAAACAAGCCATACTCAGCTAACAGGTGTCCTGACAAGCCATACCCAACCACAGGTGTCCTGGCAAGCCATACACAACTAACAGGTGCCCTGACAAGCCATACCCAAGTAACAGGTGCCCTGACAAGCCATACCGAACCACAGGTGTCCTGACAAGCCATACCGAACCACAGGTCATTTTGACAAGTCACAATACAAGTACCATATATGACCGTCTATAAGAGGACCCCATGGATAAGACGACCCCAAACTTGACCCTTAAAATCAGTGTCAACATGGTATGGTCGTGCATAAGTCGATCCCCCGCGATGGGGTCCTAATCGCGGCAAACACAGACCACAGACAACTGGCAGTTACCAATAATTATAACTTTGGTCCACATTATTCAAAGAATTCACAATCATATATATTGTGTCTACTCACGGATCGAAACGAAGTGTAGTTGACAGAAAATGCATTATATATTTTGCTTCTCTAAATATCATATTTATTGTAGCAACAAACTGGCTTGCTTATTTTACCCCTTTCAACAATCATGAACTGATTACCGCCTCGTTTTCCATTGACTGCTAGTTTACAGTAACATCGGTAAAAACCTGTGAATTTAAATGGCTTCCGTATTTTACCCCATTCCATGTGTGTACAACTTCTGCTTACCACGTTCATGAGGGTCCGTATAACCTTAGTGTTGATTATATATATTTTACATAAAAACTGTAATTAAAATTACACAATGCTAGGTTATATTTCTTTGGGTTAAATAATAGTATTCTGTATTATATTTTACTGACGACTGTGTCAGAATTCGTCCCGTTATATTATTGTGCATGTTTGAACTTGATCGCCGGGAAACGTGTGCACAGCTGATTGCTATTTCCGGCACATATACACACGGTAATCTTAATCTTAATTAATTTATAGAGCAAAAAACTGTAACTAAAATTACACAATGCTAGGATATATTTCTTTGGGTTAAATAATAGTATTCTGTATTATATTTTACAGATGACTGCGTCAGAATTCGTCCAGTTATATTATCTGTGCATGTTTGAACTTGATCGCCGGGACAGCTGATTGCTATTTCCGGCTCAGATACACACGGTAATCTTAATCCCTGCAAATAATACAATGCCCAGCAAAAACAACTTAGAACTTAAAAGGTAAATAATCTTGTCTAGTGATGTTTAATTGCAAATTTGACGTCTCTACTGACAAAGTCGTCTTCTGTTGTTTGTTCACGCGAAGTGATTACGTTGTTGTTTTCTTACCCCTGGAAAAAAGTTCGACGAAAGCGTAACCCATGGATAAGACGACCCCCTTCTACAGACTGCTTTTTTTGGTCCTCAAAATTCGGCTTATAGATGGTCATATACGGTAGGTCATCCTGACAAGTCATATCCTACCAATAGGTTGTCTTGATCACAAGAGCTGCCTCATCCAATTTCTTCTTGAGGGTGTCAGCAGGTACACCCTTCCCAGCATCCACCATCTCCGGGGGGAACTCTGTAAGTGGCCACAGATATGTCTTAGAGCTCACCTTCACACAGATCACATGATGAGATGAACAAGTCATCTCACAACATTAGAACTAATGTGCTTGTTGGGTTAACACTTAAATAATGATTCTGAGAATGACCTTGACCTTTGAAATGACCCATCAATCTGTCTCCACCAAAACAATATTGTGACGAGAACATATGGGTGATATACTTTACATGAGGCCTTTCATATTTCCACACATCACATGGTTCAAATAAGGCCAAATAAAAAAAATGTTGTGGTTCCGATTACACCTCTTTAAAATTTAGGGTAGGTAGGTAGGAATTTTTCTATTTTTTTTCACATATTTTTTTCAGAAGGAAAGTACAATTAATAACACATGTATCAATGTGTAATTGTTTATTCAATCAAGCTTGCGGCCATCATGTCGACTTTCTCTATCAGAATGACCAATATCTTTCAGTGCCGGGAAAAAACAATGGTATCTGAAAGCTTACTGTAAACGTAGTATATTTCGCGCAGGTTTTATTTTCGCGCTTTTCGTGCAAAACATTTTAGCGCGATAATTCATACACCGCGAATAAACCATAACACATCAAGTTTGAAGACAGAAATCTACGGGAATCTTAAAATGACTGATAGTAGCATAAACAATCACACTTAACTGTCGCTGTAATGGATTTCCCAAAACATAATTAAATAATGAGCCAAATACCATTGCCGAATTAGCGAAAACAGCAATGTGTGTTGTGGCCGCCATGGAAATTGGTCACATGACAGATGGTTTGATACAAAACAGATTACCATGAAACGACTCGGGAAAGAAATAATACAGCAGTATTTTATTTATTCATTTAGATACAAACGTATCATCATGAAGCGAATAGTCACTTAACACTCAATCATCTCATTCACAACAACCCGGCTTGTTTGAAATCACAAAAAGCTTCATATACAGTATAAGTTAATTCGTCAGATCGTCAGAATTCGGAACATAAGACTGATGTGTTTTTCATCTCTTCCGGGAGTAAACGGGTTACTGTGTACTAGTATATCGCACAGATAGGGATTTCCTGTGAGTAAGCAATAAACGCCACCTGACAGGTTAGCCACTCTGTTTGTTTTCACTGCTATTAGTGGCGGCCAAAGAGACAGCTGGCAGTTCCGGCAAATACTGACTGCGCGAATAATTGACCGCGCGAAGTAGTCTAAACTGTCAATTCCGCGAAAATTGCACCACGCGAAAATAAGTACGTTTACAGTATTTTATTCAGTCCACTTAAAAAAAAAGGGTCGGTCAGATAATCGGAACTACAACATTTTTTTTTTAGGCCTAACAACTGCAAATGCAGCAACCAATCTGTAGAGGGCTTCACCCAATATTCTAAAATTTCCAAAAGAGCTTGATGAAGATATGAAAACAACGTTGATCACAAAAATAATTCTTTGCTGATTTACAATACACAGTTTACAAATGAATCAACAGGCCAAACTTCACATCACATTATAGGTTCTAATTAGCAAGTCAGCCTTGACAACACATCCAAACATGTCTTCCAACTGAGATAACCTTCACCTACCTTGCCCTGGAGGGGTGAGGAAGACAGCATTGCCCAGTGCCGTAAGTACTGATTGCTCGGCTAAGCCGATTCGCAACTTGCCTCCCAGCGATCGGATTATGTACCGAGCCTCAGACTGTCGGCAAGCGACAAATAATCCTTTAATCATCTCCACCTTCTTGGTCATCACCTGAAGACATATGACGATACTGATTTCTACAACTAATTAATAGTTTCATATTTTCAAGTATAATTTTTTCGTAAAAAGACAACAAATTAAGTCACATGACTAATGCCATGGTAGTGATAGGAATAGCTCTGAATGCATTGTCATTCAAACTCTAATTTTGTTTTTTCTTGTGGAACAAAGGCTTTCCTTGAGAGATAAAACCATAACTCTGTAACTTACTGAGTGCCCTGTCATATTGGCAATATCCTTGAGTTTGGTAAAGACTGACATCACAGTGAGTTTCGGTGGTGCAAACATCATTCGTTGGGTACTTCTGCTGCTCTGAAAGACAGACAACAATCAAATCTATAAAGTTACAAACATTATTTCAATTCCAGAAAGTGACTTGGCACTTAAGATAACATTGGTGTCTTTAATTTGTTGGCACACGCCATGATATCCCATCTCATGAGGTCCAACATTGGCAGTGTATGAAATAAGCCAAAAACCCAGCCAGACATCTGGGCTGGTAACTTCAAAAAACTTACCAGCCCAGAAGAGATTTAACCAGTCCTCCTTAAATACTAAACAGACAGTGCCAGTGGACACCTATCTGAATATTGTTTTTCACCTGTCCATCGGGCTGGCTAGCTGTAAAATTAGACCGTCCAGCAGAAATCTAGCCCGTCTAACCCACCCCCCAGCCATAAATTATGAACGGTCCCTAAGGTGTAAACAACAAAGACATAGTCCAACAATCAAAATATGAATAACAATATCATGGCAACATAAGTCCATTTATTGAGTTTTGGATGTGAAAAAGATTTCTTTGTCAGCCATGTTATTTATATTCTCAGATAATTATGCTGAAGAGTGAGTGAGTGAGTGAGTGAGTGAGTGAGTGAGTGAGTGAGTGAGTGAGTGAGTGAGTGAGTGAGTGAGTGAGTGAGTGAGTGAGTGAGTGAGTGAGTGAGTGAGCGAGCGAGCAAGCGAGCTGGGGACACCAGAAATGGGCTTCACACATTGTACCTATGTGGGGAATCGAACCCGGTCTCCAGTGTGACGAGCGAACACGTACTTTAACCACTATGCTATACCACCACCCCTTATGCTGGAACCTTATTGTAGTGATTATATCAGATACACAAGCTTTTAGTTCAATCAGTGCGACTCTGGATACAGATTCATTTCTAATACACTAATCTTAAAATACTTAGAATATATTTGAAACAGCACGACACTGGATACCGATTCATTTCTGATACACTAATCTTAAAATGCTCAGAATACATTTGAAACAGCCTCCATAAGGCCAATCTGACACCTGCACAGATTAAACAAGCAACTTTGAGAAATGTATTTATGGACCACAAGTAAATCTATACACCATTACAATTTGTGCACTTGGATTTCTTCAGCACTGAAGAATCAAGTCAGGTATCTGTTTTACAAAAAACATCAGCTCAGACACTGGATATGGCCTGAGTAAGTACATAGAAGACAAATGTAATTAATCCTAAATAAAAAAATGAAAATAAGAATCTCGAGGAAAGAAATGATACCGCAGTAAATGATCTCCACAACATATTACAAATTCTGAAAAAAATCTATAAAATAATGCCAAAAAGAATATATGTGATGAAACAGGACACTGCAGTCTGTGCTCTGCGCTGAGGAGCCATCAATACCAGCCACAATATCTCCAACAAGGTCTTCCACACTGAGACTACCCTGTGACTTTACACGGCACACTAGGCAGTATATCTCAACTGAAGTAAATATGCTAGGGATTATGGCTACTTGGGGTGATATTTCACGAAATTGTGAGCACAGTCGTCACAAAAAGAAATATCCCCCAATTTATTATCCTTAACTATTTTTGAGCAGTATACATACTAAGCTGTTTAGCAGTCTTGTTCTAGGACGCCATACTATTTAAACATCTTTGTGGAATGGATGATAACAAACAAGGCTAAATCCACAGAGCAGATTCATCAATTATCAAGTAAACTGAAGTACTGGTTCTTTAGTTGTATAAACTATCGGCACTCAGTTTCAACTCTTCTTCCACTCCACCATGAGTCAATACCAGGAGTTAAACGGTGTACAATCTGTAGCTCCCCAGTGAGAGAGACAGACAGTTGGGAGGGGAGATCTTCACATATTGCAGGACAACATCTCGTTTATCACACAGAGCGTCCTCATCTTCGGTCTTATCTCGGGCACATTCAATTCCAAGCAGATATAGTACTGATACATTTCACTTACAGATGCTCTTTAAGAGCAAATAGATATATTCCTGGGATTATACAGCCCATACTCACTTATCACACAAGCCGGTGTCATCTCCTGAACTGGTTGATTGAGGAGAAACATTAGTTTGCTCCTACTTGAAATATTTCAGAAGAAATTCTAAATAATGTATAAAATTAATATTCAGGTTGCAAAAGGTAAAAACTCTAGATATATAAAAATTTAAATATTTGTGGAGAATAGACATATCGGCTCTTTATATTAAAAAACATTTGATATAAATACATGAAAAAACTTGGAAGAAAACAGCATTTTCACAGCTACAGAGGGCTGCTTTTTATGATGGCTGATTGACAACTTCTGAGCCTCACATGGAAGGAATCGCCGAATGATATGATGTTTTGGTTGTGGACATTACATAGAGTCATAGAGGTATATCCACAAATATTTGAGTCAATTTGCTGTGACTAGCCAGTAAAATATGGAAGAGGCAGGGAACTCTGGAAAATTGACACACTTGGAGACTTTACACCAAAAGTCATTCATGATATGTGTTCAGCAAAGGGGAAGGACACCTGTTCCTTTGCCACTTGTCCGAGAGGCGGGAAGCAGCATTTCAGAATGACAGGAAAACCCTTGAAGACAACCCATATCTGAATGGACGGTGACATTGGCAACAACAGATATATCCAAGAGAATCCACACTATGGTGATGACCGAATGGCAAATTAATCACATTGTAGGCATTTCTCAGGACAGAGCAGATTTCTTCAGCAAAGCAACTTTGACAATGAAGACAATATGGAGAAAAACACCACTGTGTCGAACTCACGGCGGACTTGAAAAATAAGCCAGGTCCCTACATAGTCCTTAGTCATTATTTTACGGTTATGCCGAACCTTAGATATCTCAAAGTTTTTACATCAGTCCTGTCAACTTCGACACAATAGTGTTTGAATGTATCAGCTCTTTGGGTTCTACATCTATCAAAATCCCACCAGGCATAACATCACTCCAGTCAGTCAAGCTGTTAGAAGCTGCCCCATACAGATGTTTGCAACAAATTGTGAATTTATTATCATGGATGAACCTGGGTTCAACACTTCCAGTCTGAATCCAAGCAATTGATAAGAACAGTGAATGCATTTGAAATCTCAAGCACCCAAAAAGGTCATGACCGACCCATCAGTCACGAAATGTTATGATCTCCATGTTCAGGTATGTCCATGGTGGTATCGCAATGGGACAATCTTCAAAAAGGCCAGAAAATAAACATCATGCAGCACTTTTGAAGAAATTATGGAATAAAATTAAGACTAAGAGATGTGGGAAGCTGAAACGGCACTTCTTTGATGGGCATTTTAGAAGTTGAGGTCTAGAAGAATGATCATAATTTTATGGATATACAACTTCTATATTCTGAATAAAGAAGTTGTATATCCATAAACTTATCATCATTCATCATTGTCACAGCAGCTATGTAGAACGATTGGGACAGCTAAGAGAAGCACTTGTATGAGACTGGGACAAAAGCCCAACAATATGGTGAAAATCTATCAATGTTAGAACGGCCAATGTTAACAATGTTAACCCTGCCCTCAGGTCAGGTCAGGTCAAGTCTGTATGTCCCTGTCCTCAGGTCAAGTCAAGTCTGTATGTCCCTGTCCTCAGGTCAGGTCAAGTCTGTATGTCCCTGTCCTCAGGTCAGGTCAAGTCAGTATGTCCCTGTCCTCAGGTCAAGTCAAGTCTGTATGTCCCTGTCCTCAGGTCAGGTCAAGTCTGTATGTCCCTGTCCTCAGGTCAGGTCAAGTCTGTATGTCCCTGTCCTCAGGTCAGGTCAAGTCTGTATGTCCCTGTCCTCAGGTCAGGCCAAGTCTGTATGTCCCTGTCCTCAGGTCAGGTCAAGTCTGTATGTCCCTGTCCTCAGGTCAGGTCAGGTCAAGTCTGTATGTCCCTGTCCTCAGGTCAGGTCAAGTCTGTATGTCCCTGTCCTCAGGTCAGGTCAGGTCAAGTCTGTATGTCCCTGTCCTCAGGTCAAGTCAAGTCTGTATGTCCCTGTCCTCAGGTCAGGTCAGGTCAAGTCTGTATGTCCCTGTCCTCAGGTCAGGTCAAGTCTGTATGTCCCTGTCCTCAGGTCAGGTCAAGTCTGTATGTCCCTGTCCTCAGGTCAGGTCAGGTCAAGTCTGTATGTCCCTGTCCTCAGGTCAGGTCAAGTCTCTGTATGTCCCTGTCCTCAGGTCAGGTCAGGTCAAGTCTGTATGTCCCTGTCCTCAGGTCAGGTCAAGTCTGTATGTCCCTGTCCTCAGGTCAGGTCAGGTCAAGTCTGTATGTCCCTGTCCTCAGGTCAAGTCAAGTCTGTATGTCCCTGTCCTCAGGTCAAGTCAAGTCTGTATGTCCCTGTCCTCAGGTCAAGTCAAGTCTGTATGTCCCTGTCCTCAGGTCAAGTCAAGTCTGTATGTCCCTGTCCTCAGGTCAAGTCAAGTCTGTATGTCCTGTCCTCAGGTCAAGTCAAGTCTGTATGTCCCTGTCCTCAGGTCAGGTCAAGTCTGTATGTCCCTGTCCTCAGGTCAAGTCAAGTCTGTATGTCCCTGTCCTCAGGTCAGGTCAAGTCTGTATGTCCCTGTCCTCAGGTCAGGTCAAGTCTGTTTGTCCCTGTCCTCAGGTCAAGTCAAGTCTGTATGTCCCTGTCCTCAGGTCAGGTCAAGTCTGTATGTCCCTGTCCTTACTTAAAACTCAACTGAGTTGACTCTGACTGCTGCTCATGTGTCAGTCAACTTGTCCTCCACATAGATTTGTTCTGGGGAAATCAATATCACAGAAGTATGGTTCCTGTGGAAGAATATACCAAAAGTACTTATTCCACAGCCTGTAAAACTGTTCTGGAACTGTTTTCCTGCAATACATACATTCCCCCTCTCTTCACACATCATAACAACCCGTGAAGATCCAGGTTAGAATTGGTCTTCAGTAACCTATGCTTGTCGTAAGAGGCGACTAACGGGATCGGGTGGTCAGGCTCGCTGACGTGATTGACGCATGTCATCATATCCCAATTACGTAGATCGATGTTCATGCTGTTGATCACTGGATTGTCTGGTCCAGACTCGATTATTTACAGACTCCGCCATATAGCTGGAATATTGCTGAGTGTGGTGTTAAACAACAAACCAACCAACCTCACATCATAATATAAAAAGTTATAATTTTCCTTGTATCAAATGTTCAGTAAATGGAAATTATCTGAAATAACTGTGATGGTAGATTGTAGATCTCCTTCCCTCTGGATCACTCATATTATACCATGGTGATGAACTTGCTGAGGATCATGATCAGGGTTAATCCAGGAATAAATCCCACAATAATCATATCCTGGGCTGGCGGACAAGGGAAATAACTCTGAGGAGCAGACATCAGGTCACTTTACTGAAGGAAACTGTCACATGATGTACCATTTCATTTTGCAACATATTATACATGATCCAATCTAGTCATTTTTAAATTTCAGCAATTCCTGCTCATTGCTTGTTGTTTAAGCTCTGTTTTACAGCTAATTTTCACCAATTTGACAGCAGCCTCTAGATAGAGAATATCTTTGACACCAGATTTCTTTTGTATTTGGTAGGCTACGAATATTCGCTTCTAAACGATATTTAAAGAAACAGGCTGGTTAAAAATGATCCACCTAGTGCTGCTACTGAAAAATATTTTGGAGACACTCGTGAAACATTCTTACCAAGTATTACATTCTTTGCTACAAAGAATAGGCAAACTACATTTCACTTTCCTGCAACTTTAAAATTTGACATTACAAAAAGTCAAATGGTTTCTTGAACTACCCTTCCTTTCTGAGTAATGGCCTTTCAAAACATTTTTCTAACAATAATCATCTGGAAACCACACACACCATTTTCTGACAGTGTTTTCACTGTGTTTGTTCCAAATCTAATTTCAATTTCAAAGAAGTTCCTGGAGTCTATCCAGACGATGTGAGGAACAATCAATAACCAATTCTTATTACAGTGTTATGGAGGAACATGCTGCATTTACAACAATCTCCAGAGTGCCATACAGACACAGGTCCTCTGTATCATCTCTAGCCCTTAAATATACATATACTACTTTCCTTTAGGCTCATTTACATGAAGGAGTAGCTGAATTAACAGAAGACAGTAATGCTAACATTTAAATCACTTAGTAAATTCCCCTGACACTGTTGGTTTTAATGTTGTGTAAATGCTGTTACATAATGGTAATCAGTATTTGCTGGTGGAAATATGCAGTTGTTTTTGTTTGGAAGTGTTTCCATATATATCAGTTTATTGACATGGCCATGTCTTGAAGACTTCAAAACTGTCTGCTCACATTCAAGTTCGTCTCCAACCACCACCAGTCTAGACATCTCTGACACTGCAGAAGTGCACAGCACACAACACTAGATCAACCAAGGTCTTCTGATTAAATGGAAATCACACCTTTGGGACGATGCTGTTGTCTTGCGGCCATGATTAATGATGGGCTATTGGTGTGGGCTGCTGACAGAGCAGGCAGTGCAGTGCCACTTGGCATCGATAACTAGGCCCATTAATAATTACCACACAGAAGACAGCTTCTAACAAATGGTTTTCTGTGATGAGTGTTTCTTATTGTATGTTGCGACTGTGTAAATATTGTCCTAGTATACTGTAGAAGTCAAAACAAATGTTGCAGTTTATAAAGAAGATTAGAGTGAGTAGGGTGGAGGAGTGAGTGAGTGAGTGTTTCTTATTGTTTGTTGCGACTGTGTAAATATTGTCCTAGTATACTGTAGAAGTCAAAAACAAATGTTGCAGTTTATATAAGAAGATTAGAGTGAGTAGGGTGGAGGAGGAGGAGTGAGTGAGTGAGTGAGTGAGTTATGCATCTTTAAGCAATATTCCAGCAATATCACATTGTGGAAAGAATGTGTGACAATGTTATTGCTGGTTTATTGACTTATTTCATAATTGTCAGTAGTCAAATAAAACTTGATGATTGCTTACAACCAGTACATTTTAAGATATCTTAAAGGCACTGTGAATATAGATTGGACAAGATAAGACCCATCCACACAACCACAGAGTCTACTCTAACAACACCCACAGGAGATACAAACAACAACATGTCCTACCTCAGCCACCAACCCGAGATCTCCCTTCTCTTGTGCGTCTGCTTTTATTTTATCCACACTGCGACCTGAAAGTTAATGGACAGAAATCTGTCAGAAAAACGAGCTCATTGGATGAAACAAGGACATGAAATATTTGAGCTACTGGTATTCACTGCAAATAACAGAGAGCATGCAGCCATGGTTTATTATGGTGAAGATGCAGTTTTATTTATTAAGAGAATGCTGCACATGTGTACAAAATGGTGGGAATAACCAGTCTGAATACGTTCTCCACAAAAATAAGACAGTTCTGTGAATATGTGTGGCACTACCAGTTTAGACAAGTTGACAACAAAGTTGACTTCTGTTGAAGTATAGTTTTAGAGTGAATTATGGCAATGATGTAATGGAGGTTGAAGTTTTGTAAGAATGAAATGCTTCTTATGTGGCAATGTATTATGAATACGTACCTGTGAAAAGTAGCCTGGTTTAGTGATTTCAGAAGAGATTAGTTTATGATACAGTGGGATCGCAATACAACTTCTATCAGAAAACAAAGAGTGAGAAACGATGCATCTCCTGATAAGTTCTTTCATTGATAAGTCAATATTCTGTCTATCTGATGGTGAATCATTTGTTTTTAAACTGTAGAGACTGAGTATGACTGAAACATATAGGCTTAGACAAGAGAGCACAGCCAGTGCTATGCCCTTTATTGCCAACAGGGATATGTCTGAGAATCAGCGTAAGCTGGTTGTTGAACGATTCCTTTATTTAATCATTTAACACCTACATAACTTTTGTTGCAAATCAACGTGTATTTTGGACCTCATATCAGACAACACTGATGCTGTATCGTCACACCTGTAATTTTAAGTTAACAACAGTATGGTAACAATGATACTTAAATTAAAATGCAATACTAATTAAGAAGTGCGTTGGCTTAAAATTAAAGTTTGCTACAAACATTCCTAATTATCTTAGCATCTACATTATTGTGTTATATCATTGTTGTGTGCCAGGTGGTCAGTTAATGCTGTGCATCTGCAAATCTTCCCCAAAGATACTGACTGAAAATAAGCAAAACTAACATTGAATCGATCATGTACTGTATCATCAGTTGCAAATTTGTCTTGCAGCCATACAAAGCGATTTTTGAAACTTTTTCCGTCTACACAAACAAGTTGTGAAAGTTTACCTGTAGCCTGAGCAATGGCCTTCATGAGCACGGTCTCTCCTATGCCCAGCTCCATGCCGGCGTAAGCTGGAGCCAGCTTGTTGAGACACAGGTAGACACACTGAAGCAGATCCCCAGGGGACAACACAATCACTGACCGAAAGAAGTTGCACAGGATCTCAATCATTTTTAGCCTGTGGAGAGAAAAGAAAATATATACTGAGAGAAAGAAATAAAGGAAAATTCAAGCGTTCCTTTAATTTTTTCCAGTTTTCATCGCCGCTTTGAATAGCGCAGTAGGAGAAAATGTGAGAAACAAACAAGGGAACTCTGCCATGAAGTGGTGTTCCCTTATTTGTTTCTCTCAGTATATGATGATTTTGCCTTCAGTCTGACTGCCAGAAGCAACAGTGACATTGGTACATAAATGCCTCATATATACAGATTTGTATCCTATCATGATAACTGTCCCTAGGTGTTTCTCAACAGATTATCAAATACACAAAGCTGTATATCCCCAATAAGAGCTGGGGCATTATCAGGGCTTGATTTCAGCATTAAGAATTTGCACGGGTATAACCTGAAACCACAAAATGCAGCCTGATATGTACATACCAACTTGCACAGAGTGTAAGTCAATAAAAAACAGACTTGAGCAGAAAACAGAACAAGGCTGAACATCCTTGGAGCAGTGTCTGTAATGATTACATGACAGCGACTGAAAAACTCCTGTTCATGTCATGAAATTTTATGAAGTAAGATAAAATGATCTTATTCGACACAGAATAATTTTGTTACAATGATGTAACTTATAAGTACTAAAACTAAAACATTACATAAACTTTTATATTGAGCAACAGGTACAAACTTTTCTGTCAGTTGCAAGAAAGTTATTACCTAAGGTTGCATTAGGTGCAAGAAAGTTCTTACCTAAGGTTGCACCAGGTGCAAGTAGGTTTGATCTACCTAAATTGAGCGATACATCTTGATTAAATCACCTTCAGACCCAGTCACAATCAGAGGTTCGCTGCTATAAAAGGCTAAGTCCTCCTTATTCCTCTTGAATGTGTCAACAAGTGATGACTTCCTCCACTGATGTAATGGGGAATTATTCTTAACTGTAACTCAAAAGGCCCTCAACAGAGTCCCTAAGCCCTAAGCAGTAGAGAAGGCCCTCTATGTTGGCTCAGCTGTTAATTCTTAACCCTAACCCTTTCACAAGGCCCTCTACAGATGCCTAGATGTTAGTTCTTAAACCTCTGTAGAAGAAAAATCATAAATTAGAAACTATAAAAGTTTGTTCCAGTCACTCAACCTTTGTCTGATAGTTCAAATTAAATCTTATTGATCAATCTAATAATGATTCCTCCCAGTTAACAGAGACAATGTCTCAGAAAAGGTACTGACCCTTTAAATAGAGGAAATACAGTTCGAAGGACACAATAGGTGGTCTCTCATCTTGAGACAAATGTCTAATTTCTAGCCAGGATGTACAATCCTGTTCCTTTTTTATACCAAGCTGATTGCATGATGAACTGACATAATCATGGGATGCTCTGGTGTCTGTGCCTTGTTTCCGCTGACCATCACCCCCGCGGGTGCCCTTCCTATCCTTCATAGGGACAGTTTAACCTAACCCTCAGAGTGGGGTCATTTCTACAGAATCTTAACTACATCATCCTCTCAGCTATGGACATGCCATGGTTTGATCTTCCATAGACACGACATTTGCCACAAAGTCCACAGATCCTAGTTTTCCATGTGTTAAGTCTAGACATACTTCACTAACAAAATCAATGAAAGTTTGAACAGCAAAGACATAAACCCAAACTAATTCAGATAATGTATCTTCCAACATTCGCTTGATAAGTAAAGCCATAAAAAGTACCATTTATTCCAGGAATAGATTCTGGAGGATTAAAGGAGCTTCATGAATCACTTTCAAAGCAAAAGATAGGAGAATCAAGCCCAATCGTTTTTCTTCCTTCCATATTTGTGATACTTTAACATCAAGAACTATTTAAGGACTAGCATCAGTGTGATGCGAGTGAAAGTGAGTACTCCTGCAGGGAGCATGTACTGAGCTTGATGAGGCAATCCATCTCCATCACATACCTGCATCACATAACATGTCTATAGGATTTCGTTTCTGCAGCTCCATGCCTGCTGAAGCCACATCCTAGTCAGTATCAGTGCACACAGTGAATGTCTAATATGTCACCATAATAAACTTCTACTTCTAGCTGAAGGTCACATTTCTAAAGAATGACAAGATGTTTAATGGAAGGAAAGAATATAAACAGGTCTCGATAATATGTCTGTTGGCAGACATTTATGTTTTTGAACATGTACATGTTTACCCCCATTTATGAAAAGGAACTAATTTGATTGGACAGAAACAAAGACCAGTTTACAAAATGAAAGGGTGTGTGAGTGAATTTAGTTTTATGCCACTATTAGCAATATTCCAGCAATATCACGGCAAGGGACACCATAAATGGGTTTCACACATTGTATCCATATGGGGAATCGAACCCAGGTTTTCAGCGTTTAACCACTAGACTACCCCACTGCCTGTTTACAAAATGAAATGGGTCATAGGATCATTAAGGGACTTGAATTTCAAGCGTAAGTTAAAGAATTGGTAGCCAAAAACGTTTCAGAGATTTTATTGTACTCACCTTGCAGATGTATCCTCGATGGCCTCAAATGTTTTAGAAAGTGCCAGATATGGTACTCTGAAAAATGTCATTGAACTTATGAGTACAAGAGAATTCATGTCATGGCAACCTGTGACCAATAATGTATGGGCCAAGCAAACCAGTGATTGGTAGTATGATGAACATAATGGGATATAATGATAACTCGCTATCAGCCAGTCACACATTGTAACTGAGAAAGTGTTTGGACAAGGGTGCTTGTAGAAATATTTAAGAAATATCAACGTGGAGGATACCAAAATCAGGGATCTGACCCACACTGTACCAAACTGGAAATCAGCCCAAGGTATTCCGTAGTCAGACTCTATCACTCTGGAGGTGAGGTGAAATTGGGTTTGATGTCGTGCTTGAGAATATTTTGCTCATATGACGACGTGCATGCATGTGTATGTGTATGTGTATGTGTATGTGTATGTGTATGTGTATGTGTATGTGTATGTGCGGCTGCTTGTACTAGCCCAGACTGAAGCTGGTTTTATAGTGCTAGCCCACTGAGATACCATGCCGCAGTGAAGCATGAATACCCCACTCAGACACATTATACTGACTCCGATCCGACCAGTCCTTGTTGTACCCATTAATGCCGAGCACCAGGCAGGGACCAACAAGTACCATATTTTAACGTCTTTTGGTATGACGCGGTCGGGGATCGAACCCTTGAGCTTCCGCTCTCCGGGCGGAGGCCCTAACCACCACACCACGGAGGCGGTCCTATCACCTCGAACCTTACTGAGATTGGTCTTAGCTTGGTTGCTAAAATAAGCAAACATTTGGCACATACCTGATTCACCATGATAAACTGTGTTGCATAGGCATGTATTAATTATGTTCCAACATTGCTGTCATCACAGTTGAGGTGTATTATATGTTTAATACAATTGTTTATGAGACAAATCCAAATCTGAATGACAGATACCACTCAGTGGAACAAATCCAGATTGCAAAAGTGATGCTTACTTTTCCTTGTGTTTCCAGCAGGCATCATCAACAGGATGGTACTTGGACTTGGAGGGGCGATACTCTCCATCTGAGGATTTGCTCCCGCTGCTTGGAGATGGGCTGAAAAAACAAAATGTATTTTCTAAATCTACAAACAACTTTCTCAATTTTACTTCTTGCATATTCTAATAATTAACACAAATCCTTACAGCTAGTTCAAAATCTTATCAGAAACAGAAACATGTGAAAACATTTACAGACACCATTGCTGAAATCATGCAAAATTTCAGCTTCATGGGTCTTATGGTTTCAGATGAGATGTAAAAAAATAATAGGAATGACATATAACGTACATCAGCCCCCAACAAAAGGTTATGGTGAGCTAAACCAATATCATACTTCTGAGGTTTTTCCCTTTCCGGATGAGTTAAAAATAAACATAACAGCATGGCATTTCAAACACTATCTTTCAGGTAATAAAGCCAAAGTAATTCTTGTAGACGAAGCCTTTGTTCCCCAAATTCAAACCAATTCCACGGGCCAATCTGAAATTAAAGGACTTTTCAAGATCTATGAAAATTTACTTATTGATTGTGTTAAAAATAGTATTTTATGATGATAACCTTTATTCTATTCGCAGGCTGTTGTCAGGGTCAATTGGCGAACCCATGTAAAGTGCGGTCAAACATGAAATCTTCAGACTTCCCAGACGCTATTCACAATGTGGAACAATGTCGTTTCACAAGACTTTAATCTTCTTAAACACTACCTGACACAAAAATCTTCAATACTGATAACATAAATAAGCAGGAAACATCAAACACTAAGTGGGCAGTCATATAGAGAACCTGAATCACCATGTTCAAACTTGACAAACACCACAGTGATTATCTTCAAAGTACCAGCAGAGGTGGAAAATGGATCAAGAGTCTCCCCAGATTTCTGGAAGTAAGGGCCAACTTTCTAATGTATGGTTTGTTCATAAAATCAATCCCCATGCCATGTCAACTCACCGTAAACATCCTGCTTATGAAAGATCAAAACAAGTTTCTAATCAGACTTTGTATGCTTGTTGCAGGTTAATTAATGTCAATTACTGTATCCAACTGACTGTCCAGTATGACTGTACGACAGATAGATCAAAACCATAGCATTATAAATCAAAGAGTTTTCTAATGACAGGATAGGAATGGAATTCCATGACTAGCTTAATCAATATCTGCAGATCAATGGAGAGATCCAATGTGAATACTTTTGGTTTTCAACAGAAAGAATGAATTTGTTTTATTTTTGAAAATGTTCATGTAAGGATGATTAATCGCATGACATAAAAAGTCAGCTTTCAAATCAATAATGGCATATCATATAGCTACATGGCATGATGGGAGCACGAATGACAAAGACTTGACTTGAAACCAATGCAAAAGAAACGGAATTGGATTGAAAGATAAGACAAAACAATCACACTGCAGTGCGCCATTAAGTAGGAGGTTTTCTTGCTGATTGAAACCAAAGAAAGAAATCAATTAGTGCGCAGGAACACAATGGTGGCGATTGTTTACTTGCTACTCAGTAACAAAGAGAACTGGCATGGAAATTTGTCAGGGAAAGGAGTTGTCTGTGAACGGAAAATCTAATCTCTTAAAGACCAATTCTTCCAATAATTGGCTATTGGAGTGCTATTTCTCAAACGTTGTCTCCTTCATGCTGTGGACTGACGCGAGACAATGACTGGCCGTCTAGAGGGGCTTGTTCTCCTCATCACCACTGTCAACCCCCTTAATCAAGTTAGTAAACATCCTTATCAATTGCCATTCTCATCAAATCCCTTCACCAGAAGTTGCCGACACATTCCTCGTACCGAGCAAGACTAACCTGATGTGTAAAAAACCATGTAAAAACCGCACAAACTCCTCCAACCCATTATTGACGAAGATTAGACAATTTACCCCAAACTTGCAAGCAACCTTAACTCGAGCCTCTGGCAACATAAACCAATCATCTAAGCTTGAAGAAATTTCTAGCCAATCATAAGCTCATAACACCATCGAAATGCCACTGTGGTAGCTAGGAGTTCCATGGCGATATCGGCTGGACATAGGACGCGCTCCCACGAGGTGCGATATATCAACAAGCACAGTGTTAATTGAATTGTGAATCTGATACGATGCCGAGCATCAGATAATGCTGGATGCGACTCCTGCTCGTGTAGCGCTGCCGTAGTTGATCCTGGATGGACGTCAGAGGACATTACTACTGGGACTAGCACTGAACAGAGCACATAACAGGTAAGCTTAAACTTCTTAAACTGTTACTTTCAGAGATCTCATGTCAAACCATGAGAAGGGGTTTTGTCACCTGAGATTGTGATAATTCCTTGTCAAGGTAAACGTAAACAGATGTCAGTGTAAAGATAAATTTGATTTAAGAAACTGATTGAAAAAGAAAACATCATTTAAAAAAAATAAAAGTAACTGACAGCTTAGTTTTTACACATTTTACATAAAGTACTCTAATACTGTGGTAAAAGATTCCTGAAGGAATACAATCCAAAGAAACACTGAATTAATACCACTGCTAGAACCATCATGACAATAATTGTAACGACTTCATTACTCAAATTGAATTGAGAGTTTCCTTTGATTTGTAATGCACCACAACAGTGATAGAGAACTACAGCCATAACAATCCTAACCATGTCCTACAACTGTAGCTAGGGTTGTCTCTGGGAGTGTCAGTGACAATGTTTCAAATGAATATATCCCAGTGTACTTTAAATGATGTCATATGGACTCTTTAACATGGACTGGATAGGTTATTATGGAATCACAATTGTTGCTATATAGCCTTGCCATTGGGGTGGGGTGGGGGTGGGGGTGTTCGAACCCCCCCCTTGAAAATGACTTAAGACCACAGACTTAAGAACCCCCTGAATCCCCTCAAAATTCCTGGATCCGCCCATGCTTGCAGTGATACACATAGGACATTCCATGTAGCAATTTACATACATCATGGTTAATTTCAAAGAAAAACTGTTGATATTCCCTTAGATATTTTAAAAGATTTCTTTTCCCTCACATGTACAGTGTTAGATGTGAGAAATGGAAAAGAAAAGAAATATATACACATACCCAGACAGGACTGAGATTTAAGACCCAAATACCAATCTATGCCAATGAACAGCAATATAGTGTTATCATCAAAACCTGCTAAGATTTTCTATATGGTTAATGAAATTATTTCTCAATGTAATAACCGGTGAATTACCATCCAGTCCATCATTCTACTTCTTATGTCTGTGCATAGTAACAGTGAAATCAGTGACAATAGTTCTCAGCCACTATACTATATATATGCAGGTTTTACTGTGACATGGACAGTCCAAGGGACACCCATCCATGTATTTTACCCTTGCTGGTAATATGAGGGTGTTGTAAAGTACTGAAATTGTGTAGAGTCGTGTGCTTACAGATAATTATTTCAGAACCTGAATCAATCGGTGGTCATGTGGAAATTGGTCATGTGAAAATTGGTCATGACTGCTGGGTGAAATAACAGACACAGATAGCCACTTTTGATTTGGACCCGTGAACATCTCAGTTAGAATTGGTCTTCAGTAACCCTTGCTTGTTGTAAGAGGCGACTAATGGGATCAGCCTGTCAGACTCGCTGGCTTGGTTGCCACATGTCATCAGTTCCCAATTGCATAGATCGATGCTCATGCTGTTGATCACTGGATTGTCTGGTCCAGACTCTATTATTTACAGACCGCCATATAGCTGAAATATTGCTGAGTGCGACATAAAAACTAAACTCACTCACTCACTACACTTGATTTGTTATAGGTACATTCTTGATATTATAGTGCATCTCACTGGACAGGCTATTTCGGGTTTTCTGCATCGATTCTCTACATTTGTGTGGACTGGACGTACATAATCCTGCATTTGGTAGTGTTGTGAATACATAATACTCACATGTTAGAAGAGGTTCCCAGAAAACTATGTAGTACATTGTGATATGAAATGGCTAAAGTGGTTAGACAGGCAAAGTTTGGTTGACTGCATGTCATAACACCCTTAGAATCATGTGTTGCTCATTACATCAACCACTAGCCTGTCTCGCCATGAGATATTATTTACAAACATCTGCCATAAGGCTGTGGGATACAGCTGACACGGGTGTTGAAGTGCACTGGAAGTGGAATATACTTATTTAGAGCAAGAATGAAAATCAGCAGTGTTAAACTTTGAATCCTATAAGACATAGCAGGTGCTTAAAACAATGTGTTTACATGTTTTAACTAAAATGTTTGGTCAATAAAATCAAGAGTAACTGAAAACCCAAATGATAAAAATAGAAATAGAAAACCATATGTGGATGACGAAGAAAACTTTTGAAAAAATTGACAGAAATGAAACCTTCAATAATTTCTGTTAGGCAATTAGCAAAAGTGGCTTGACACATTGACATGTGTAGATCTTTGTTTTCCATGATTTAGCAAAGCAAATTGAAAATCAGACGGATGGAGTTGAATCTTTGTGTTCAGTTGCCTTAGGGCAAGTTGCAAATTTTGGTATTTGGACATCCCTGAAGTAAAAATATTTTCTTTATGATAATCTGAGGGGTTTTATAATCATTGATATTCCTATACTAATTATGATACACCTTTTCAACGGTAGTACAGCCTAATACATGCTTGGAGTATTACAAGTCTTTCTGGAATGAAAGTAATAGTTTTAATGTCTTTGTACTTGACCTTGATTTACGATTATAATTGACACCAAGCAATACTTCCATTAAGTCTTGCTCGTCTCTTAACTATGTCAGCATGAATATGTAGAATAACACAGAACCATATGAACCTCGCTGGAAGCATTTTGCAACATATGAAGCAGAATCCGACAAATCTGTCACCCCCAACTTAAATTAGAAGTAACAGAAGTAACAGAAGTAACTTTTAATTACTCAAGTAATACTGCTGTCCAATAAGCACAATCACTGCCTTTATTTGCTTAGTTAAACGCTGCAGCAGATATAATATCCTCTGAAATAAACTTCATCAAACCAATATACAAGGAATCAATTTTAAGTGAAGAAGTGTATATTTTACTTTCTGCTGCAAGGGATACTACCGTAGTATCATGTGACTGCTATACCTTAGTGCTGAATACAAAAACCACATCACTAATGATCTCGAAGCAGACACAAGACGCTAGTCACCTAATTAAATATGGCAAGCAACAATAATTCAGCAATTACTAGGCTGCTAGTTACTTTCTAGCATCATTCCTGTTCATTATTTTCTGATATGGACAAGCCCTCCTCCTGGAACCAGCAACGAACTGTGAGGTGACCGAGGCTTCTGTGATATTATTGATTTAGGCGCTCGGAAGACAGCATTCTGACTAGTTCCTTTAGAAAACTTGAAAGATTGTCATTCAAGGTAAATCAGGTTGAAATTCGCCAGGTTTCAATTTACGCTCCACATCCTTGAAAGTAGCGAGTTGTGAGTTGATCACAAGTTAGCCTTGTTATTTGAAGAGGCTTGTGATGCTGTGTACAAAGCCAGCAAGGATTGGCTAGCAGACTGTCTGCTATGTCACAACGTCTTGGAGTACCTCAACTACAGCACACTATGGTTATAAGGAACTAAAGAGACCAGTAAGTTTAGTTTGTTTATACAATAGTTCGTTATATGCATCTACAGTAAAACATAAAACAAATGGCTAGGACCAAAGAAATAATTCCTTGCATATGTCAGTTCCTTATAAGCATGTTCGTTATTAACTTTGTTCAGTGTACCTGATAATCAGCGTTATCACCATAGTTCAGTGTACCTGATAATCAGCATTATCACCATAGTTCACCATAGTTCAGTGTACCTGATAATCAGCGTTATCACCATAGTTCAGTGTACCTGATAATCAGCGTTATCACCATAGTTCACCATAGTTCAGTGTACCTGATAATCAGCGTTATCACCATAGTTCAGTGTACCTGATAATCAGCATTATCACCATAGTTCACCATAGTTCAGTGTACCTGATAATCAGCGTTATCACCATAGTTCAGTGTACCTGATAATCAGCGTTATCACCATAGTTCAGTGTACCTGATAATCAGCATTATCACCATAGTTCACCATAGTTCAGTGTACCTGATAATCAGCATTATCACCATAGTTCAGTGTACCTGATAATCAGTGTTATCACCATAGTTCAGTGTACCTGATAATCAGCGTTATCACCATAGTTCAGTGTACCTGATAATCAGCATTATCACCATAGTTCACCATAGTTCAGTGTACCTGATAATCAGCGTTATCACCATAGTTCAGTGTACCTGATAATCAGCGTTATCACCATAGTTCAGTGTACCTGATAATCAGCGTTATCACCATAGTTCAGTGTACCTGATAATCAGTGACAATGACTTGTATGTTATTTACGAGTTGCCACTTAAATAGAGGCAAGATTCAGATTCTGACAATGACACAGACATGTGTGTTACCACTAAGGTAGAAGTAAAAGTCAGATTCTTTGAGTTGCCAATGGGACACAGGCAATATTTAGATTCTGACAATGACAGACCTATAAGTTGCCAATGAGACACAGGTAATATTTAGATTCTGACAATGACAGAGACTTTTGAGTTGCCAATGAGACACAGGTAGTATTTAGATTCTGACAATGACAGAGACTTGTGAGTTGCCACTAGGACAGAGTTAATAGATTCTGACAATGAGTTGTATGTTATGGACAAGTTGCCACGAAGACAGAGGTAACCGTCAGATTATGAGTGAGTATGGTTTTACGCCGTTTTTAAGCAATATTCCAGCAATATCACGGCAGGGGGACACCAGAAATGGGCTTCACACATTGTACCCAAAGTGGGGAATCGAACCTGGGTCTTCGGGGTGACAAGCCAATGCTTTAACAACTTGGCTACCCTACCTCCACCAGTCAGATTATGACAATGCCAGGGACTTGTATATTATGCACACTTGCTGTTAGATGCATAAAGGTGTCAGCATTCATTGAGACAGATAATGTTTTGTTTTTCACATGTGGCCGAAGTAACCTCCACAGCTGCTCAGGATTGCCAAAGGTTGTTATCACCATTTCCACACTTCAGAAAACTTTCAGTGATTTCTGATATTCTCATGTGTGATGTTACATTGCTACCCATCACCAAACAGCTTGGTTGACAGAACAGGACGGGCTGTGAACACTTTCCAAAGTTGTTGACACTTAAGACTTTGGTAACCATGAAAATGGAAGAGCCACTATCAACGTTGCATAATTAGCCCATCTAGGATGTTGTCAGGGAGGGACTACGTGTGAAAATACTAAGTCCCAGAAACCAGAAAAGAAATCTGCATATGTTTCCAATTCTGAAAAAATATGATTCATTTGAGAAGTTCATTTTTATTTAATTTTTTAAAATATATTTCCATTTGTTTGTGTGTGTTTGAGGGCATATGTGGAAACAAATTACCTTGCTTATTCATAGAACATATGGATCCTAAAGACAAACACAAAACACAATGTATTCATACCACCATGCCTGAAGCTATTCAAATTGAGCCAGAGCCAACACTCTTATTCAAGGTCAGTCCAGAATATTTCCGTAAACTCTAATTCAATTTTTGCTTTTTTCAGATTTACAAAACATCCATTATGACTGTACACATTCTTCTAAGTGTCAGACTGATATCTTTGGACTTTTTGAAGTAAAAGTTTCCATACTCTACACCTTCAATAGAACCCCTTCTTTACCAGAATGACTGCAGCTGGGCTCGAAACATGAAATACTTTCACTAACGTATACATTCACTCCTTCATTACCCATCATGGCAAGAGGCTCAACTTGGGAACATGACAAAGAAAACAACTTAACTGCTCAGCTATGGCCATAGACTGAAATTGGATTTGTAAAAGCTTTGTGTACCTGTCAAACAGTTTACATTGATTTCCAGGAAGTTTCAAGGTTGTCATTTTCACTTTTGTTTTCTAAAGTATGTCAGTGTGTGTACATAAAAGTGTGAATTAAGTGGGTCGAGGTCAACATGACATTTTGTATTGACTACTCACAAACTAATTTGCATGTTTCTCCATTGATTCATGCAAAAGTTTGAAACTGTTTGGGCTTGAGAAAGGAACAAAGACGACATCTTCATGAACAAATTTTGTCTTGTCTCAAGGATCACCATAACATCAGTTTACAAAAATAATTTTAGCTAATGTGACTTTGTTTCTGGGATCACCATATCAGATTACAAATAGGAACAATACCTGTTACCAAGAGTAGGAAAACATTACAACTGGACGTAGTCATATTCCATTTCTATGAATTAGGCAGCAGTAAGGTCTGGACCAGACAAACCAACAAACACTGCTCTGAACACTATCCTGAGCCATGACCTTGGAGGTCACTGACACACTATTAGCCCAGGCACTGAGCCTGACCAGCGACTGGGCTAATAATGTGAACTATTATAGGAGGACGCTTGTGCTCGAGTGCTTCAGTTCAGGGCGAAAGTGTGCTTTATTACACTATACATGGTGGTCGAGCGAACTGTATTTCCTTAGTAAGAATAGGAAACTACATCATAAACCGATTACAGAGTATTTACAAACAATTGTAGAGGGATAGTAATTCTGTTATTTTTTTCATGGCAATGTGATTCGACAAAAGGGACTGTCTCAGAACCATCTGGCCATAATGGTGGCAGTGTGTGAAGTGGTATTTCAATAGGTGGTCCCATGGAAGTGACTTCTGATTTTAACAGCATAATTACAAGTCAGCTTCATCTTATTCATATTGGAGGAAGCTTGAAGTGGCTTAGGCTGCCGATGTTTACTACTGATGAAACAAGTGCAGCAACAACGGATCATAGCACGATAAAGGGACACAACTTTGCACAGCTAACAGTATTGTCATTTGGTCATCCTGATCTAATGATCTTTCATTGAAAAAAACAAACGTGAAGGTCATGGCTCAAATATATTCTTAACATTGCCATGTTGTCCATATATTGCAGAAACCAAACATGAAGGTCAGGTATCAAATATACTCTTCACTCTTTACTTTGCAATGTTGTCCATTTATTGCAGAAACCAAATATGAAGGTTGGGTTGGGTCTGTTGGTGGCTATCTACCCTTGTCTGCTGACTGTTACCTTGGCAACATACTATTCAAAGGAGAATGACCAGTGTAACAACTGTTGCCGGGGCCCCCCTGGTCCACAAGGAATTCCCGGACTCCCCGGTATACATGGAACACGGGGTGAAGAAGGACACAAAGGAAACAAAGGAGAAATGGGCAGCAAGGGGATCCGTGGATATCAAGGTAGGGCCAACCATTCATCTTTTGTGAAGTCAGGAATTTAACATGACAGATTTCAAAGCCATATCTGCTGAAAATGTCCCAAACACTAACTCATCAAGGGCCTACTTACACAAAGAGATCTAAGTGCTTCAAGCGTGTACTTGTGTATCATAACATCTATATGCTGACAATAGGCATTGGGTTGTTCTCATTCTCAAGTCCAAAACAACTGTAACATATGTTATATTTGGGATTACACTTTCTTAGTAAAGTACAGATTCTAGTACTTTTGGGGGGTTGAGTCCTCATCCGGGATTCGAGCCCACACCCTCAGAGTCAGGCACCTAATCGCCAGCACACAAAAGTCAGACGTCTAGACCGCTCAGCAGGGGTGGAAATAACTTTAAAATTGCTAGTGTACATGTGGCACATGTAAAATCACTTGCCCTGATAATTTTTCCACTATACCGGCCGTTTTCTTGTTGATTTTTTTAAATAAACAACATAATTAACATTGGAAAGTCAACTGGACAGCGGTACAGTGTGATATCCAAATTTGCTTGCCCGACACAAAAAAACACTGGACTCGGACGTCAGGCAATGGGTTATTTCCACCCCTGCTCAGCAATTTTTTGTGGAAGCCGCGGTAGCTGAGCGGTCTAGGCATCTGACTTTGTGTTTTGGCGATTGAGGGTGTGGGTTCCGAATCCCGGATGGGACTCAATCCAAAAAGTAATAGAATCTGTACTTTACTAAGAAAGTGTAATCCCAAATATAACATATGTTACATTTGACCACTTTCTAAAATGGCATTGTGTATTTCAAAACAACTGATAATCAGTACATCCAGTTTGGTGCGAAAGTTGTTTGGTTACAAGTGGTCTAGGAGTTGCCACTAGACACTACAGAGTTGCATCCCTTAGTCATGAGTTGTTGCCAAGGTGAGGATTCTTGGTTTGGGTGTGGGTTTCACAAAATGGTAAATGTCCAGTGCCTGTAAATCCTCCAACTTTAAGCTGAAACAGTCTGTATCTGAATACCATTAAAAGCAGCATTAAGCCCACCTCACAAAGACAATTATACGTCACTGAAACAAATAACTAAAAAGAAGGCAACATGAATTGGGCTGCCAGCACAGCTAGTGGCTTTCATGGTCTGAGAGGCCATCAATAAGTCCTAATTCATGAGAGAACTTGCCTTGATTTATTGTATAAGCACACATGAGCTAATAAGTTAAGACAAGTCATCAATCCTTATGTTACATTTGCAAGAAACTTGCATAATTCATTCATGAGAGATGATTCATAAGCCTCATTTAGGTTCATTACTATATGCAAAAAATATGCAGTGTTTCTGGAAACCTATTAAGGCAGGACAGGACAACAGATCATCTTTGTCAAACTGTCTTGCATACATGCCTGATAGTTGGCTGCATATCAGGCTTTAAGTTAGGGGTGAAACAATACAGCAGGGTCATGATACATCACGATGCATATCATGATACACACATTTGCGTCAACCAGTATGGAAACTTCCTTACTATAAATATTTCAAGATTCCAAAGAAAAAGTTAGCTGTAGATGTATGTTGGTAGTGTCTGTTTTTGATAATGAACTTGAAATGATAATTACAATTCATTAGAGACATCTGATTGAAAAGAACACGAGGGCTGTTGGTTATAATGAAAACATAGTGAGTGTTTTAGCATGTGTATTGTCTGGTATCAATAGAGAAAAAAATGCTTTGTGTATCGTATCATCTCACAAACACGTGCTCTTGAGGACATAGTGAGTGTTTTAGCATGTGTATTGTCTGGTATCAATAGAGAAAAAAATGCTTTGTGTATCGTATCATCTCACAAACACGTGCTCTTGAGGACATAGTGAGTGTTTTAGCATGTGTATTGTCTGGTATCAATAGAGAAAAAAATGCTTTGTGTATCGTATCATCTCACAAACACGTGCTCTTGAGGACATAGTGAGTATTTTAGCATGTGTATTGTCTGGTATCAATAGAGAAAAAAATGCTTTGTGTATCGTATCATCTCACAAACACGTGCTCTTGAGGACATAGTGAGTGTTTTAGCATGTGTATTGTCTGGTATCAATAGAGAAAAAAATGCTTTGTGTATCGTATCATCTCACAAACACGTGCTCTTGAGGACATAGTGAGTATTTTAGCATGTGTATTGTCTGGTATCAATAGAGAAAAAAATGCTTTGTGTATCGTATCATCTCACAAACACGTGCTCTTGAGGACATTTGGACTAAAAAAGCCATCAATAGCTTTGGGTTAATGTACATTGTGCAACATGGCAATCCCAGCAATCCTACAGGCCTTGGCAGCAGACGTCAAATAGAGATTACTACTCAGGTGTCTGTCAGATGCCTATTAACAGTTATTTCAAAGCCAGTGAGATACTTTATGAAACAAGGGCATCACTGCAGTAATCTCTTTCTAACACATCCTCTATATACTGATGGAAATAAATAAGGGAACACATGAAAGTTTAAGCCTTTACACTTATCCAGATTTTCACCCACAGTGGAATAAAAAAGAAACCTTGAAAAGAATGTAGGTACTATAACCACTTGAAAAGACCAAAGAATATTTAACAACACACTAAAAGCATAAAGTTTCACTTCCAATACTGGCAAATTCAACTGACACAAGAGTAACATATCAAGGAGTAACAATCAGGAAAGTCGTCCTACATAATCTGATCTAAGGTCATCTCCCTAGAGTAGCCAATCACAGAACAGGATGTTGATCTAACCCATACATTTGATATCTGTCACCTCAAAATGGCTCTTCGCCCATGGATGTGTAAGAAAACTGGGGGGGGGGGGGTTTAAGCCAGTTATGAATGACATTTACCACTTTTCTGAAATCCTAGGGCATTGTATGGTACTCATAATATCAAGTAACATTTTTAGGACCAATCTGGAACGCAAAACCAAGATCTGAGGATCCTTGTACACAGAAGGGACGCAACCCTGTGCAGCATGTTGTAGCACTTTAAGCAACTGGGCCAACAGTGGATCCACAACATGATATTATACATCTCCTAAAAACTAAAACAAAACAAACATTTTACTGTAGGGAACATCTGGCACCAAGCACATTTTTTTAGCAAATGACATTTTCATTTTCCTTGGGTGTTAATCAGATCATTATCTGCATGTTTTAAAACTACCGGTATTGTCATTTACTATATCTCCACCTTTCCGTTAACTTTACGGAAATACAGTGTGTCATAAAACAGCCGTTACTGACAACACTGAGCCAAACACCAAGGTCCATAAAACAATCACATGTTGTTCCACCTGAGTTTCTTTCAGGAAGCTATCACAGGAGATTCCTTCTTGTATCTAGATATTCAGTATTGTACACATTTACACATGTAAATAGTTCACATGTGAAATATGGTCTAGGAGATATAAAGCCTTTCTGCCAGACATAACAGAAGATGTATTTCTTTAGTGAGTTGAAAATGACTAGGGGAAGGAGTTCAGAAGTGACGTTGGTTGTACCACTTTCATAAAACTTGTGAGCACAAGTATTGTGTTGATACACTGAGTATGATATACAAGGCCAATGTGGGATTCAGTCCTAGTATGATATACTAGGCCAATGTGGGACGAGGCCAATGTGGGATTCATTCCTAGGATCATACACAAGGCCAATGTGGGATTCAGTCCTTGGATCATATACAATGCCAATGTGGGATTCAGTCCTAGTATGATATACAAGGCCAATGTGGGATTCAGTCCTAGTATCCTAGTCATGATGGGATTAGTCCTAGTATGATATACAAGGCCAATGTGGGATTCAGTCCTAGTATGATATACAAAGCCAATGTGGGATTCACATACAAGGCCAATATGGGATTCAGTCCTAGTATGATATACAAGGCCAATGTGGGATTCAGTCCTAGTATGATATACAAGGCCAATGTGGGATTCAGTCCTAGTATGATATACAAGGCCAATCTGTACCACCTCAGACCACTCAGGACTCTCTTCTCCCTTCAAATACTCCATGAAGTATCCAACCTTTCTTACTTCAAACTGTAAATAGTGTCTGATAGTGTATACTTTTGGTAAGCAGCTTAAGAACTTGAAAAGTGTTCTTCCACAATGACTGAGGTATATATTTGACACGATCTTAAAAAATCAAATATTAAATTGAATTCACTTTATCTCCACAGGGGTGACAGGGCCTTCAGGACCAGAAGGTCCAAAAGGGCTCCGAGGAAGGAAAGGTCAAAAGGGCATGGAAGGCATAACTGGTCTGGAAGGGCCCAAGGGAGAGCAGGGAGCACGTGGCTATCCTGGACTGAAGGGAGATATTGGGGAGAAGGGGCAAAAGGGAGGCAGACCTCCAAAAGTGGCTTTTTCCGTCAGCCGCAGCAAGAAACTTGGACCAGTCTTACAAAATACTCCTGTCACATTTGACAAAATTCACACCAACTTGGGTGAAAGTTTTGACCTCTATTCCTCTCAGTTCGTGTGTAGGGTCAATGGCACCTATTTGTTTACTACCCACGTCCTGGGCCAAGACCAGCATGATGCATATGTGTGGATTATGTTGAACAATGAACACAAGATGGCGCTGCACGGGGACAGACGGGCAGGGTATGGGACAGGAAGTAACACAATTATCCTCCATCTTGTGGTTGAAGACCACGTATGGTTGCAGCTGTCGGAAAAGTCGGCTCTCATGAATGACTACTCCTCATTTTCCGGATATCTCTTATTTGAAGATTAGAGAATTGAACAAGAATTTGAACATTGCTACATGTGAGAAAGTTTGCTTTCCTCAAACTCATAGACTATTTAACAATCATTTAGTATGTCCATTAAATTGACTGTCATTATCTCGAATGTGTTTTGCACAGACTAGTATATGATGTGCCAGATTTGAGGAACATATGCTAAAGAAATGTGTTGTTTGCTATGTTTCACTATTTCTCATTTCATCAGTTCATGAACCTTACACTGTGTTGGGTCACTCAGGACAATACACATCATCTCATTCACCTGATCAGGATATACTTCATATTGAGCAAGATATTCTTTACATATGAAGTGCAGCTTGATAATGGGACTCCCAACAAAAAAAAAAAAGATTTTAAAATATCAAGGTGAAGGTCAGAGATAATGAGAGTCAACTGTGTACTTGCAGATAGTCATCCTGGATTAGCTACCCTGTGTTAACAAGTGGTAGACCTGTGAGCACTTCCTCACAAAGAACTTGATGATTTAGGTTTTTTACACACAGCTTTTGTTCAGACATCAGTGGATGTTATAGTCAACTGGTTTTGTGAACCTGTGACCAGGATCTGTATATGCCATTGTTTCATGTTCCATGTTGTAGCTGTGTTTAATCTTTCCAGAAACTACAGCTGATAGATGTACAAATCACTCGTCTCTTAAACAGCTTATTTGTTTTCAAATCATTTTGACCTCTGTTTGTTTCAACTCATTGAAACTCTTACAGACAAGTCAAGAGAGTTTATACGTAAGTAACATGCCTACCTGTCATTTGTAAGTCAGTAATAGAGCATACAACATTCCCCACGGCATTAATGTCCCCTGACAACGTCTGTGTTTCAGAAGTTCAGTGAGCAGTAAGTAAATAATGATTATATATTTCAACAAAAATCAACTGAAAATGACATTGACAGCCAAGATGAACCTTGTGTAGAGTCGTCAGTAAGTTACACTAAGAATGAAAGTCCAGGGCTCCCTATCACATATCTGAGGTACAGATTTAGGCATAACTTGCTCAAATATTTTTAGAGCAAACTTAAAGGACCCAATATTCAAACCACAAAATTATGAATGCATCTGAGTTTATGAACCAGGGTCCCGATCAACAAAGCCTTCATAATGTTACGACCTGTCGTAACTCTATACTTAATCATAGGCTTATAAATGGCACAGTGTTACGAACATTTTGGATCTGGCCCTTGGTTCATAAATGGCACAGAACAGTCTGTAACATCAGGGTGAGCTGGCCATTGTGGGTTTAGAAGCAGTTGAATGCACACGAGTTGGCGTATTGTATATTCAGCAACTTGAACATGCACTTTGTTCAACAACTGCTACAAACATTATCCTAACGTTTAGAGTCTTCAGATGAAACAAACATTTCTGTAGGCAGTTCTGCTATTCAAACCTCTCTCATATTCCGACACTATTCCCACAAGTATTGTAATCTTGACATGAAATTCAACTCATATATATCAATGATTCATGACTGTATGCCAAGAATCTGAAATCTGTACATATTACCTATATGTGTGTGTCATGTGATGTCCACAGGGAGATATGATCTGGATAAAGTAATTCAGCTACATACACAATAAGGACATAGATGTCGGTCAAGTCAGCAGACTGAAGGAGGGTTCTATGGCCCAATGACATCCTACAGATCACACATGCACCCGAATCACATCAACACACATCACAGGTAGGAGTTTATCTCCACCAGTTCCCATCCTGGCCACACAAATATCACGTATATTTACTAGTTTTGCTGCATTGAGCATCTTGGTGCAGTAAGTCTCCCTACTCCACTAACCATCTTCAATCTTGACCACACAAATATCATGTATATAGGCTGCACTCAGCATTCTTGTGCAACAAGTCCCTTTACATGAATCCTTCCCATAGACTGATGACTTACCGTAAGTCTTCTCCTTTATATTACAGACTTCTGTTCCATACAAACTATCATCTAAAAAACTTTCTTTCATCAACAATTCAACTGTTTGTCCACTACTGCCTAAACTCTGAATACATATTGAGCAATTTCTTTAAAGTTTTAATGAACCCTAAATGATGTCAAATATATAAGTCATTAAACAAATAATACCATTATTGAAACTCTCTACTGCAGTTGCTGTCCCTGCCCAACAAATAGTACCACTGTTACCGCTATTACCATGCAGCACCACCTCACTGAGTATTGCCAAACCTACATAGCTGCTAAATACTAATATTTTCTAAGTGTAACTCTAAAATATACATGTTCCAATTATGGACATTTTCATATTAAAAAACTAACAAATATTCCACTTAATCTTTTTTCGTAGTCACAAACTTTCCTACATGTAGGCTTTGTTAATTAAAGATTTGCTGATATTTTACTCTTTTCAGTTTTCACTTTTCTTCAACATTGTTTTCTAATATTTTATATCTTATCTCAGTCTCATAATAAATCTTTTTCAGACATTTGCATCTTTTACTTAAAAAATGAGACAGCATGATTCAGACTATTAACAGTAAGTTTTTTGTTGCATTTCATAACTTTAGAAAAGTTCAGTGGGTGGACATATCAAAATTGATTATATCCAATTATTTTCATGATGGCGACTTTTGCCTGTAGTCAGTCAAACTGCACAGAGGCTTTTATTATCTGCCGAACAAAGCAACAATAATTGGTACATTTGTGGGAAAACAGAATGAAATTTCACGGCAAAAAATGTGCGAGGCAGTGAGATAATTTTGTGTGGATAGACAATGACAAGCCCACAGGGTTACATGTCAGTTCACCGACGGGTTTTGTAGGTTCCTGAGAGACATTTGAACATGTCATATTGACAGTAAGTTGCCATATCGCCTGTCACTTAGTGGAACCATTCGCGACTGACGGTCAACAGGACACCTCAAGGTTGAACAAACACTAGCATGTTGTCAGAGTGTGTAACACTAGCATGAAACGTGTGTGGGCGGCCCAGGGAGGAGGTGTTTCAGAATAACTCAATACCATATCAAATTTAGATTTTAATCTTGATCTAAAATTGGCAATCCTGTAGGGAAAATGACTTGATAACTAATGTCATGTAAAGGACACAATAAATACAATGGAGGGCAAGAATCCTTGTTGTAAATGCTGTAATAATAATACAAAACTGCTAGAATTATTATTATTATTCAAGACAAACATCTTTCACCTACAGCCTCCTGCCCCCTCATATTGAACACATTAGGCGCAAAGGAAGAAAAATTGACAGCACATCAATGAAATAAAACTTTATAGCACTGATAATTTCTTTTCATCAAAAAAAATCTAAGGGCAAACATTCACGTCTGCTCCACAGTGAATCCCTCAGCATGATAATCATGCTTGTTGAATTTTTTTACGTTTGTTTAGTTTCTGAAGAGAAGACTGATGTTAGGCTTATTTTTTCAGGACTTCTATCTTCTTTTACCAATTTGGAAAACCTATCTGTAAGTTTCAATGAGCTTAAATGTTCTTGTGTTTTACTTCCCGACAAGGGTGTCATGCTGTATATCTATTTGTGAATGCTGTGCCAAATGCTGTATAGTGCCCATGTGTCGGCCTGTCCTTTGTAAATAGCCACACTGTTCAGCATGTGAACAAACCTCCTCTTCACGCACCTGCAAGGCATGCTTGAATACTTGTTGCACACTTTCATATATTTTCATTAAAGGGCCTTCACTATATAAGTCACCAACATAAAATTGTAACTATTCTTGAAATAGAAACCTGGCAAAATACTGACCATACACTATATATATTTTTTAACACGTTGACTGCCTACCATGAGTATACTTGTATCAATTCTGGCCGAATGTGCCACTACGAGTTATCTCGTAGTGGCAAAATGGTATTTTGAAACAAGTTTCACATGTTAGCAAAATAGGCACAAGAAACAAACGTCTCCTGGTGTTCTTTGTTATCGACGATTGCTTCTTGTGCCTGTTGTGCCAACATGTGAAACTTGTTTCAAAACACCATTGATGTAGCTACGAGATAACTCATAGTGGCACATTCGGCCAGACATTGATACTACGAGTATATATTCGTGGTGGCAGTCAACGTGTTAAGGTCAGGCTATTCAAACTCATTATGAAATGATTTTCAAGAAAAAACGCATTATTTTTTTTCTCATTAAGAGATGTGCTCTTTGAATGGCTTCCTCTGCTTCATATAATCCAAACATCCTGAACATCTGAAGAAATACTTAGTGCACTTGGTCCAACTGTTTAGCAGGGTTTAGAGGTTCTTAGCATTTCAGAATAAGATCAACATCATATATAGATGTTTTATATTATAAAAATATGCTGACTAGATATTTGTTCAGTCATATTTTGTGATTTTTAAGTTATATATCTCAAAGCTTTTCATGTTACTCTTTTCCTGGAAAATATTGGACAATATCTTGTTGTGCAGAAGAGGGGGCTTATTAGCTTTCGGAATATGTCCAGATTCATTTAAAGAAATAAAAAAAGCGCCAGGCTTCTAATAAGCGCCGGGTCTGGAAGTCAGTTGAAAAATAAGCGCCCGGACGCTTATTAGAGGAAATACGGTATATCTGTTAGCAGATACTTACTCCTCTCCCTTGCTTAGAACACAGAAAACAACACTAACTCTGTCCACAAGTAATGTAATCGGTTGAACAAAAATCACAATTTTACGAGAAAGGAAATCAGACTTAGAAAAGATTATATATCATAGTGAAATACCAGAAGTCAAGCTAATTGGATAAAACGATAATGAGAATAACTTGAGCTGTGATGATGGTGGCCAGAGTTGCTGGTGGTTTCACACACACCTAGATCTTATGTTGTACATTCTTGTTATTAATATTCAGCTTTTGAAGATCAACCAAAAGCCTGACTCCTCTCTTATCTTTCCGTGTAGCCTGAAGTCACCTCCAACATGTGTCAATCTTTCCATCAATATCACTTATATCAGAAAACTTTCTGAAACACATCAAATGGGAATTGTGAAAGTGAAGTCCGTTGGTTTATCATTGTTATTACCATTGTGTTGTATATATGTGTGTACAATGTGACAGCGTCATTGTAATTACGTGCAACATTCCGTTTGTGTTTTCTATGGTTGTATCTTTACATTAAACATGATATGATTGTGATTAGTAATAAACTTGTAATTAGACCTCAATGAATCTGGTTGTCACTTC